AAGCAGCCGCCGCCGCCAGACGCGATGAGCGCAGACGGCTGCGAGCTGAACTTCAGGCGTCGGAACTTGAGAAAGCGAGGTTGGCTGCGGAAGGCGACGAGGGTGTGGAAAAGGTCCGCGAATCCACGAGAGAGGATCGGAAGAAACAGTTCGAACGGGAGGAAGAGGAGCGATTGCGACGCAGAGAGGAGAAAAAGCGCAAATCTTCGAGCCGAGACAAAGAGAAATCTGGGAGTACAGGAAAACGCAAATCTACAGCGACCTCACCACTCATGGACGAATACTTTGAATCTCGAAACGGCAATCACGGGCCCAAACAGCCCGGCGGACCATCGGACAAAACTCGTTCGTGGGTCAACTCGCAGGCTAGTGATCCCCCTGATCTACCGCCCGGGGAGGGCACGATTCTCGACGGCGAGAAACCGAGCAGTGTCGCTCTTTTTGGCGAGAATGTTGGAGGAGAGGGAAGAGGAGAGGAGCGGAGGCGGCCTTCTAAGAAGGATTCGTACAGGCGGAGAAGTAAACACGTCACCAGCCCGGATCCAGAGGAGAGAAGGTCTTCGAGACGGAAGGAATCGCGGCGCACTACTGCCGAGCGAGAGGATGTTGGAGGAGGAGGAGGTGTCAGGTCCGGGAGTGGAAGCGGTGGGGATGGCGGCGTCTATACCTCTAAGCATCGTTCATCGCGGAGGAGAGAGATGGAATACGATGCCTACGCCGATGGCGGACCTGCCGCCGGCGGCATGAGAACCTTCGATGGGCGACCGGCTGTCGCGAATAAGAGAAATAGCATTTTAGGGCGGTGGGGGGGATTCCTCTGATTCGGATATCTCTGTCAGGGGAGTGGAGATTCAGTGTCCGCTGGACGGCATCGGTGGATAATGGATATGGATATGGATGTTGGATATGTAGTTCCAGATTCCAATCCAGGGAGGTGCAAAGGGGGGTAATTCAGTTATAGTTCTTTTTCCGCGGCATTTTAGGTGGTTCTAGTTGGCACTCAAGTACGGAGTAGTTACTGTTCTTGGATTTCGGGGATCCGCTTCCTTGAGCTGTTGTGGTGGTGGAATATTTTATGGTTGTTCGTCGTGATTTGTTGTTATCGTTATTATTTTTTGGTGATGGGATAGCGCTTCCCCCCTCTTGGTGGTAGCAGCTATGCTAGTTATATATCGCACCTGTCTCTCGCTCCCTTTTCATAGATAGAACCAGTCACATTCTCATCTCTGAATTTCAACCAAGTTCAGGTAGACAAATTTCCGCCATGTGCGATTCAATTCCGCTGTGCTGCTCGACTACGGACTACGCGTTCCCTTTTCCCTTCACTGATCTTTAATGTCATGCTGGTTGGGATTCGTGATTGTGAATCCCTCATTCTAGGAGTAGAGTATAGTACCCCATGTCAGATGGAGTGATGGAGTGATGGATTCTCTAACCGGGCTGAATGAAGTAAGTACTGTAATGGCTAGCGAGGGTATGTAAATGTGTTGGAGGGAGATATTGACGCAGTCCACCCATGCTCACACAGAACCTGATTGGCCTCATTCAGGGATTGTAGAAGAGTGCATCTCATGCAGGACAGTGAGTATTATATAATTTCACCGGCTGGGTGCAGCCTGATTGTTGGTATATAAGGACTTACATTGCAACCCTCCCTTTAATAAGTAAAGGGTGTGTGTGGTGTAGTGTGCAAAGGTTTGAACTTTTTGACTGATTAACTACGTACTGAGCTATGCCAGGATAGCATACCCAATTTCCCTGCTATGTACCCATGCACAATACTTCGCTTCATGATCGAATGCTAACGTTAGATCTGTGAACTTTTCCTCCTAAGTTAGTGCGATTTTCGAAGCAATTTTTTCCGCGCACGTCCTGGGCACCTCCCCAATCAGCACGTTGAGCCATGTAGTTTGAAGATACCTCCCTGCAGTTCGTTCTGCCGTCATTCGCTGACACAGGCTAAGCAGACCTTATCAGTAAGCAACCATACTCGACAAGCCCTCCATCTCCCTCTCAAAATGCCTATGGCACGAGATGGAATAGAAGAACGCGCCAGCAAAATCCTTCGCACCCTTAAGCATTTTGATCATCTCCCCTATGCCGGATGCCTCAGATTTGCCTGCAGTCACCACTCCATATGATTCAATAACACCCTGCTCGCCGACTGACGCCAGCTTGACCTTGTCCACAGATCCAATGGCTGTTTTGATGAGCTCAACAGCCTCGCCCATTGCACCGATAGCTTTGCAGTGTGCAAAGGCTTCACGAACCCAATGGATTGCCCGGCCATTCTTCTGCAGCGTTTGATTATGGGAGCCGCCAGGGATGAAGAGGGCATCGAACATGGTGGAGCGCATGCCCTCCAGGTGATGGGCTGGCATCATACCTGCGCTGCTGGACGATTTGTCTTCGCCTTCGCCGTATATGGTGGATCTTCGGACACCGATGACGAAGGGGAATGCGTTGGCGGCTTTGAGTGAGGTCTGCATTGCCTTGACGGTGGCTTTGTCGAAGCCGTCGCCGATCAGGATTGCGACCCGCCGGCTAGCGATGGTTGGTTCTGAGGGCATGAAATAGGTTTGGGAGAGGGATTTAGATTTCTTGCCGTGATTTGGACGACCCTCTTTTTCGGGGACGGGGGCTCCGACGAGGGTTGCAACGTTCTTGGCAAGCTCGAGGTCAATATCCTATCGATGAAAACTGTCAGCATGAACACCTCATTTCAGATGATGGCCTCGGGAGCTTACACGAAGGCGATCACAGATGCGTTCATAGACTATTGGTTCATCACAATGATCGAGCTCAAAGCCAAGGGCATTCTCGAGATGATATTTTTCAGGTGGAGTCAGCGAATTGTAAAAGAGCTGGGCCTGATTGATGTGTTCGGAGAATTTCTTGCTCTTCAGCCGTTCTGCTATGCCCTGAATCTTTTCAGGGAACGAATTGAATCCGCCTTCGGACGGAGGAACAGGTGGTACAGCTTCGAAACGGTTAGGCCAGTAATTGACCTTGCCAGCTGTGATCCGATGTCTGCCCTGACCATCTCGGTTATGGCTGGTGAGTGTTAGTGCGTGGCCATTATTGGGTTAATCAAGTGTACTCACTTCATCATCGGACATACAGGTCTATTGATGGGTAACTCTTGCCTTTCAAGAGTCAGTAGTGATCATATCCGGTTATAGATGTGGTAGCTTTACCAATTGATGCCCAGTCGCGAAAGTTGCGTGTCGAAGTATGAGAAATTGCGGCCTTGGAGCAGCGGATCATCTGAGAAGTCAATACCAGGGACGATATGTGATGTGCAGAAGGCAGCCTGAAAGGTTCGAATTCAGTTTCCTCGGCCACTGACGCTTTCGGTCGTAAACATACCTGCTCGACTTGGGTGAAAAACTCATCAATGTTGCGATTTAGCTCGAGCTCTCCAATGTAGCGGATTGGGACATCCTCTTCTGGCCAGATTTTTGTTGCGTCGAGGATGTCGAAATCGAAGTCATCCTGTTACAAGAAGAATCAGCCATGCAAGAAGATGTTGTTCAGAACATCAACCCACTTGACGACTATCGGGAAGTGTCTGAATGCCAAACTTCCACTTCGGGTACACACCCTCGTCGATTGCTTCATACAAATCCTTGCGATGGAAATCTGGATCCTGCCCCGAAAGCTTCAAAGCTTCGTCCCACACCAGAGAATGGACGCCAAGGGTCGGAGTAAAGTGAAACTTTACAAAGTGGCTGATGCCGTCCTTGTTGATCAGTCGAAACGTGTTAACACCAAACCCTTGCATCATGCGGAAGCTTCGTGGTACACCACGGTCCGACATAGCCCACATGAACATGTGCGTAGCTTCGGAGTGCAAGTATTGGAAATCCCAAAAATTGTTATGTGCACTCTGAGCCTGAGGAACTTCCCTGTCTGGCTCCGGTTTGACCGCATGCACTGTGCACAGAACTTAGTAAGGAGAGAACGCCTCAATGGTTAGTTATACCTATGTCGGGAAATTTCATAGCGTCTTGGATGAAGAATACTGGGATGTCATTTCCCACAATGTCCCAGTTTCCTTCCTCGGTGTAGAATTTGATGGCGAAGCCGCGAACATCCCTTACGGTGTCTGCACTCCCGCGGCTGCCTTGCACTGTCGAGAAGCGTATAAAAACTGGGGTAGTGCGTGAGGTGTCGGTAAGCACTTTCGCATGAGTAACATCTTCGGCCGACTCGTAGACTCGGAAGCTTCCAAAAGCTCCCGCTCCTCTAGCATGGACAACGCGTTCTGGAATGCGTTCATGGTCAAAGCGATGAATCTTCTCGCGAGCAATCTGGTCTTCCAGCAACGACGGTCCTGATAGAGTTGGCGTGTGAGCCCGCGACGATAGATCAGACAAGATGTCAGTTTAATCACCTGTGCGACCATCGTTGACAACTCTCAGCCAGTCATCTTGTGTAGCAACTTTGGTTCCAAAATCTGTGGTGCTGAAATGCTTATTGTCGTGGATATTGACCGTGTCACGGTGGAGGTCAGCGTGTTTTTTGTCAGTAATACCATTGCTTGCCATGGTCACCACTTTCTCCACGCCTTGGGAGATTTTGGAGGCCATGGCCGAAGTTTGAGTTGAAGTGATAGCTGAGTCCACGTGACACCTCGAAGGAGATTGAAGACAGAAAGAGGAAGCAGAAATGAAAGGTGAATAGAATTGAACGAAAGTACTGAGGGGAGCTTCATCTTCACCAAGCAGATAGGCAGATAGGCTTTGTCAGAATGACGAAAGATGGGTACCCGAATGGGCCGGCAGCGGGGACCATGCAAGTATGAAAACAAGGGTGATGACCAATGGAAAGGAGTATGTTAGATATCAACGTGCAGTGGCGTGGTCATATTCCTATTTCATGGCGGGGGGGAGGGATGGAATAGTGAGGGGGATGGTTAGAGTGAACACCCGGAGAAGTGTAGCCCACGCAATGACCATGCACAGATTTATACAGCTTTAAGCGACAAGATCCAACAGAAGCTAACTACAGGGTGGACACGAGGCAAGGGTAGATTGTCTCGACGGGCAAGGAAGAACAGAGCTTTGGAAGATGTCCACTCTTGCTTGGCCTTCATTCGCGTGGCTCTAGGGATGCACTGACTTGGCTAAATTGCATTGGGATTAGGTTGGCCTGTGGGTCACTACTAAGAGTACTGATGCCAGGAACAAGCAGAAAGATGCTACGTAGTACGCATTATTCCCAAGTACCATGCGTGACGCCGCGGTGGGGTGGTACCAGTATCTTATCCAGTGCCACGTCAGTCAATACCGCTCCACCTGAAGCTTCTCAACAGCAAACCGCAAATGTTCAAAGAGCTATCGAGTTGATGGCTTCTGCAAGCTCTTAGAATGAGACCCATTCCTTCGGCTGACCATGCACTAAAGACTAAGTTAAGTTAGATGTACGTCATTCATCAACAGCGTGCCCAGGCACAGTCTAGCGGTCCCAAGCTCGTTTTCCTGATTTGTCTGAGCATCTGCTCCCTATCGCTCTCTCCTGTTCTCTATCTGAGTGATACTGTCCACCACAATCATGGCTTCAGGTAGCCTACTTTCATCTTTTCTTGGTGCTTTACAAGCTAGTCTTGCTGTCCTCTTAACCATCTTCTATGGCGTTATTGCTGCTCAGTTCAAGCTCCTTGATGGACAATCTGCAACGTCCATTTCCAAAGTATGTGTGCGCATGTTCCTGCCAGCATTGCTGATCACGAGAGTTGGTGCCGAACTGCATCTTGACACGGCAGTCCGTTATGTTCCCGTCCTAAGTGAGTCTCCTATGTTGCCTGCTCCGGCATATATTCCTGCAATTGAGTTGCTGATTTACCACGTTTGTAGTCTGGGCAATATCTTACACGCTTATCTCAATGGCAATTGGTCTCCTCGGCGTCAGGATATTCAAGCTTCCTCAATGGGTCACTCCTGCTATCTGCTTCAACAATACCACCTCTCTCCCTCTATTACTCATTCAGGCTCTCGACGCGACTGGCATACTCTCTAGTCTTGTCATTGGTGGCGAATCCACCGCTGCAGCAATAAAGCGTGCCACCTCATACTTTCTAGTCTGCGCCATTGTTGGCAACTCCATGACCTTTGCCCTGGGGCCTCGCCTTATGGATGCTGAAAACGCTCCTGATGATCCCGACAGCGGTAGAAAGGAAGAGGACGAAGAAGAGGACAGCCAAGAGAGAGATCAAAATGGCAGGCAGGAACAGGAGACTGGCGACCCTGACGAGCAAACGTCTCTATTACCCAGGACTGTCAGGGACGCACATAGGCAGGCATACAACCACAGCTACGACCGTGGCAAAAGGCATTGGGACCGGCTGCATCCTAAGGCCCAATATGGACTTGGGTTCCTGGCGGATTTCTTCAACGCACCGCTTATTGGGGCCCTGCTGGGTGCTTTCATTGGCTTGGTACCTCCCCTGCACAGAGTCTTCTTCAACAGCCAGGAAGATGGAGGATTTCTCAGTGCGTGGCTGACGACTTCCATCCGTAATATCGGAGATCTTTTTGCCTCCCTGCAAGTCATCGTTGTTGGCGTTACGCTCTCTTCCTCTCTAAGGAAGTTGAAACGGGGCGAACATTCCGGAAATGTGTCTGTGATTTCGACGTTGTTCATTGTATTTGTACGATTTATACTTTGGCCAATCATCAGCATCTCCTTCATCTGGCTGCTGGTAACAAAGACCAACGTATTGGGCGATGACCCTATGTTATGGTTCACCATGATGCTAATGCCGACCGGTCCTCCTGCGATGAAGCTGACGGCCATGGCTGAGGTTAATGGAGCGGACGAAGAAGAAAAGATGGCCATTTCGAAAATTTTAGTAATTACTTACGCAGTAACACCATTGACCTGCTTCACCGTTGTCGGAGCGCTCAAAGCAAGTCAGGCCGCTATTTGAAGAGAATTGAATAGCGACATCGACCCTGAGTTAGGAAGCCAAAACATCTACGCAGACATACTTTCTCGACAATCGAGCCATGATAATCTCCTTGGCCCTGCGAAGATTTGCCTGATGTGGAAGGACTGCTCGCATCGTCAAAGGCAGACATCGTCATCTCGACCTTGTGGGTTGCCAACCAGGAAAAAGCGTGGTAGTGATGGCATTAGTAAAGCAGGAAACGAGTTGTTTGACATATGTGTTTAATAAACACCCTGTCTATGAAATCTTGCCAAATCAGAAGCGCAATGACTCCTTGCCATCTTACAGTCATCTCCAATCTGCACTCTTCCTTTTTATCGTTCTTGTATGTCTGGACACAGTCAGTGTAAGATCTGCGAGAATGAGACTGTTGCGCATTGTGTATATTGATGCGGCGTACCACACTCGTCAATATGGACTCAACATCCTGATCCTTCGGCTCGTTCAGCTCGTGGTAAGACCGTAATTAGACAATGCGTATCCCAGAGCTAGACGTCCATGCACTGTGACCTCATATCTTGTGGTATGAGAGCCAATACTCAGCCAGCAGATATGTATTTCGAACTCGAGGTCTACATCAAATTTACCTTATGATGAATGTTGAAGAAGAAAATGCTGTGTCCTTTCCAGGAGGCATCATGGGAAAATTGATACCCGTAAACTTAATGTTGAAAGTGGTTGAAGGCTGCTGTAGATATTCGTCACTAGCCTGTCCTGTTAAGTCCCGAGTCGGTTACCTGTCACTTTTAACCTCTTAAAAACTCATTACTACTTCCAGACCTTTTTCATATAGCCATCGACCTTGAAGGGGAACATCTCATGCCCTTCACTGTATGCACGCAGCTTCCACCCCCTCTGCCCGCTCACCAACAAAAAGAGTTCGTAATGCGGCCCAAAATATTGGCGCATATAGGTATTCAAAATTGAGGCTCAATTCTACTGCACAATCATACTCTAGTATAGAGTCAAAAATAGAGAGGAAGCTCGATCCTGGAATCGAACCAGGGTCGCCGGAAATTCCGAAATTGGATAAATCAGAATCCGAAGTCTATAGTAGTTAATTCCCATTCAAACACGAATTAGTGAAAATACTGACGATAACCGCTACACTAATCGAGCCTTTGAGTTAGTAAATTTTAACATTCATATATATCACTTTCTAAGAAGTCCACAGCAATTCTTGGCCAACCTACTAGAACACTTGTCGTCACATCCAATATCCTTATTATTTAGCAACTGCCCTATACGAGCGGCTGTGGTTTCTAGCTAATTACCAAATGGTACTGCTGACTCATCCACATCTGCTAGTTAAGCTTTATAAGCTTCTTGCCGCTAGAGAATTTGGGGTCAACAAATCTCCCTCCGGGTTTGCCGGAGTAACCCTAGACAATCGCATCTGGTTCCTGCCATGCAAGGATTCCTACCCGATACATCTAGCATCATTCTTGCTGAAATCGCACTTGATTGTCAGACGACTGGCATTATCAAGCGCGGGTCACCAAATCCGAGCGTTAATCATCCTCCATCTACGAAGTAGAACTTAAGCTCAGCTAAGGAATACGTGCTAGGGAAATGTCTCCTGGATATCGTTCTCTCAGAGGCATTCTTCTCACTCTTTGATAGACGTTTAGGCCTTTTCATATGGATGACTTTTCACAACCCAGGCCGAAGCCGCGATGAAATTACCCCATTGCCAGACATACCCAGGTCAAATCAGTCCTTAGGCCTACCCGCACCGTCTGGGCAAGATAGTGCATCTCAATCTCACATCAGGCCTCAGACCCAACGTCAACCATCATCTATCCGCATAAGACGATTGCCACCCTCAGCTGTGGTGCCTCAGATCAATGTGGAACATGCTGACGATATCAATGCCCGTGATCATGGCAGGAAGGTCGGACGCCGGCGTAGCAGCTCGGAGCCGCAGCGGATACGACCCCTTACAGGACTACTCAATGAACTTGAAAGCTCGCGTATGCCATCTGTAAGGGAGGATATAGCTGAGTTACGTGCCTCTACACCCCGGCCGTCGAATCAAGATGCAATCACGCCTGGAAGAGTACGAAGTGCTAGCATATCTGCACGTTCTGCTCTTGGCTTGAAACGCGTAAATACTGAGCGAAATCCGTCTTTGAGTCATCCTCACAGCGAGTATGAGTCAGGGGTCGTTGATCTGCTTGACGTAGTGGGTCAGTGCCATCCTGTATTCGTTCTGAATATGGGCTGTCACATCTGACATGGAGTAGACCCTGAAGTTGCAACCCTTTCGACCCTCACGAACGTGCAGAATTCTCTTTTCGTTCCGGATCTGGGCAGGTTTCTGAATCGGCAGCCAACCTACGAACTTACCCGGCGCCCTGCAGATGCATTAGAGACGGGTGCGTCCAATGCTGACACCGGACCATTCTCTCGAATTACTACCAGTCGGAAGGAGGACCAGCAGGCCGAAGAATCCCAATCAGGAACCCGTCATATACCTACACGCAGCCCCAGCATATCTTCTAGTCTCCGCGAAACGAACTATGCAGTACTACCCCACAATGTCTCACTCGATGGCTGGAGCGAAGAGGACAAAGATCGATTGAACGACTATGTGAGGCACATGCTGCATTCTCGTCGATCCAGGTTCAGACGAGGACTGAGAGGGTTTGGCAAGTATCTTCGACGACGTGAGTAATCCGGAGTGGTAATGTATTGATGCGGGAAACGTTTAATTGATCATAGCACTCGGATTCTTCGTGACCCTGTACGCTGTCCTGATCACGCTCTTCGGTCTCGCATGGGTGCTCTTCCTGATTGGGTGGATCTATGTCGGCGAGCGCCAACCGTACATCATCCACGTCATCGACAGTGTCTTGGTTGCTTTGTTCGCACTGAATGGTGATGTTCTAGCACCTTTTCGAGCACGTGATACATATCACATGGTTTACATTGCTTATTATCATCGGTTGACATTGCGCCTGCGACGCGAACGAGCATTACCCAAACTACAGAACGAAAATGACCTTCCGACTGGTCTTTCGAAAGAGGGAGATCTCGAGTCCGCATCCAATGACGTGGAGGGCATCCTCGTCCTCACCCCAAAACAAGACGAGAAATTGAGATATCATCAGAACAAATTTGCCAAGTCACATTCGTTCTACAGACCTCACGAAACGATCACTCACACAGCCTTCCCATTGCGCCTACTCATAGCAGTCGTCATCTTGCTAGATTTTCACTCATGCTTTCAAATCGCGCTGGGTGCTTGTACCTGGGGCATCAGCTACCATGTACGTCCTCAAGCACTGACGGCCGTCATTCTCTCTTTGTCGATCAGCTGTAACATTGCAGGTGGAATCACCATTTCTGTCGGCGACCGCATGACACGGAAGAAAGAAGTTATCACACGACTGGCGCGACAAGCTCTGACTGAAGAAGCAATGAAGAAGGTTAAGTCAGACTTAGCCATGAATACCTTGAAAAACAAAAAGGAAGGGGACCCGGGTCAACCGATAAAACAGAATTTCGCTCGACCTCTATCGGGATAAGCAGCACAAAGTCCGAATTTGGCATGTCCAAGTCGGATTCCCACAACGCACAAGACGGTGTGAGGATTATATAACTAGGTTCAGAGCTCCAAATGTTAATACAGGATCTGAAGTATGCAAGAGCGTTCATTATTGCAAGCAAAGAATATGCGCGATCTGCAAGAACTTAAGGACTACAATACAGTTTCCCAAACAGCTACCGAGTGCTGCAGCGATACTTCCGCCTTCGGCATCACATCGCTGCTGGTTCACTTGTTGCTCAGCATCAGGATTTTAATCATACAAGGTCAGAAGATCACTCGCCACATGTTGCTCATTGCGCCCGCGCTCCATGAAGACTTGTATAGGCCAGGGGCGCACTTAGCTCAGCTCAAGTAACGAAGGCCTAATGGGGATCTGCAACAACCGCCATAAGTTGGTGCACATTAAGCCACAGTTTTCCAGGCGTTAAACGGAGCATTATTTTTCACCTCGCATTGGAAAGAACTCGTTCCACCGCCAGGGAATTATTAGACACGTGCCTTATTATGTGGCTGCGGCCGAAGCTGAAACTGTCCAGGGCAGGCCATGTTTGTGGGTTTCTTAGATTCTTTGGCCGAAGAAGAAGGAGGGGGGGAGGTGGAAGACTTCTGGCTTGCTGCGCTCAAGCATCCAAGCGATCTGGATTCCGTTGTTTTGTTATTGCTGCTAGGATAGCACAACTAGTATAAGCACGGAGAGAAGAGAGAAATACATACATCGTGAGCTGTAGCACTCCGGAGAAATCTTTACCAGTGTTCGTAAAACAGAACGACGATTGTGGCGTACCGTTTGGCACAATGGGTATAGAAACCGCCTACCACGCCGTCGCGCGACGGAACACAACCCATCGCGTTCATGGTACCACAACGGTACTATGGTACTATGTCGTATGAAATAAGAGATTGAGATGATAAGTTTTATCCTGGGTGGTCAGCCCACATCGATAAGTAAGGATGAATCGATGCCATCTTAATCAGTCAGCCATACAAGGAAGAATGAGAGAAGATTGACAATCAAATAGTGGGATTGGATGAGACTCGTCTGTACTCCGACTTCCTCTTGGGCCGTTACGTTCCGCTAGTTATGAATGCTGATCTCTATCGTGATCTTGCTGCCTTGTGTGCACCACACCGCATTCAACATACTACCAGTACTATCGTTTCTGCTGGAGCTTAGTCGTGTGAGGAAGAGGGGTCTCCCTTATCTCCTCGATCTCGCGACCCAAGGCAAAGTGAAAGGATAACAGTTAAGTGCCAGCCCAAGGGCGCACCTAGCCATTATGTTGCGAAGGGACCTCCATCTTACTGTTCTGGTGTAAGTGTGGAATGCAATGATAAAGGAACGGACATTCAGAAGGGCCATGCAGACAACGATTTAAAAATAACGTCCTTCAGCATTGGAGCTGAATTGACACCACTTTAATTGTCCCGTCCCCCCCAGAAGGATTCAACCAATCAAACCACCACCGCCGGCCTTTGGCATCGGTGAGAAGAAGAGGTCCAAAAGATACTCATCTCATCAAAAATGTTTCTACTAGGGTTGATGATGGGCTCAAAAGCCGGCAGCCTGAGAAATTTCTTACGCTTCCTGCGGAGCTCCGCCATCAGCACCTTCACTTCATAGCATGGCTCGACTTCCAGGGGGTGCCAGCCTAAGTAGATGGCCGGGGAGCGGCTCACGACCTCATTGAGGACGTCAGGGTCTACGTAGGGACAGAAGACGAAGGTGGTGGTGGGGTTGATGTGGTGGAAGGCTGCTGGATGGGTGACCACGGAGATGTGGAGGTGCGAAAGCAGTTCCCGGTCGAGAGTGTTGAAGCAGGGATCCTGGGCAAGCGCCGCAGGAGGTTGGCGTTGTCGCGCAGGGAGAAGGTCGATGACGGATTTAAAGGCGGCGAGTTGGTACATGGACGCGTTGTCAGGGTCGCGCTCGGTTGGGCTTCCGAGACCGAAACAGATGCACTTGGTGGTGCGTCCATCTTGTTTGAGTATTTGGGAAACGAAGATATTTTTCAGCTCATTATAAGCTTTGGAATCTTTCCAGGCGGTTTCGCATTTGCGGTAACGGCGTAAGGGCGTATGCAAAGTGGCGCCGGCTGGTATTTGTGCAGGTGTAGGATCTCGATCCAGTTCAGTTAGGGCTCCATCTTGGTCTGAGCCATAACCTGAATTGTTTGGTGGGAAGATTGCGCGTGGAAGCTGAGGACTGTTAGTACCTTTGTTTCTTTTGTTACGGGATGAGCTCTGCTGAAGCCTGTGTTTTCTACTCCGCCCTAAACCAGACATAGTGATCAATTTAGAGTTTTGCAGAGAATTGACTTCAATTCTAAACAAGAAGGTTAGGAAGTAGGTAGTGGGAAGTGAAATGGACAACAAACAAGAAACATCTGTAAGGTATTTATTATGCAAAGTACTAAGGCGGCACAGTAGTATCCAAACACGAAGCTTTGTTTCATCATCACAATAATGAGGATGGCTAACTGTCAGTTGTTTTAACTATTGTGTCATGTCGTGTAGATCTCAGTCCCCAGAACTGCAACTAAGTAAAGCTTCAAAAAGAGTGTCAATACGCTATTTACTCGACCAAGGGAATCAGTGCTTTTTAAGTTGTTCCGTTTCAATGCTTTGTTTAACACTAAGAAATTGCTCCGTATGCACCCTCTGGAATTTAGATGTGGTGTTTTCAATCAGCCCTAACCATCAAAACCCATTGTGTTATAACCGACGTTTAGCCGACTCGGTACACAACTTAACGTGCTGTTTCAGCAACCACCCTTGCATGCCGTGCTGCTTTATGATCAACACTGGTAGTCGTCAACATGTAGAGAAGTCCAAAGGAAGCTTTGGTGGTTTTCGCTAAACATCTACAGAAATGGGAGGTTCTGAGTTCATGACAAGCAGTTAGGGAGTGTGTTGCAAGGATATCAAACATCTACCCAGCATCTCCACAATCACACATTTTCAATCCATCACCAAGACGCTGAGAGGAGCTGATCCAGAAATAAAGGTTCGAGCTGTTCGGATTATGAAGAAAAGCCTCCAATATGTGGAAGTCCTCTCTGAGGACGGAAGCTGTGGCAAATTGACGCATTTCACTTCTAGGAAGCGGGGAGCACGCCGTAAGAACAAGACTGCGAGTAAGGCCACCGTCAACATTATGTACATGACATGTAAGACTCCGATCGCCAGCGAGATGCGTCTTGCGGCCCGCTCATTTGCATGCCAACCCCAATTGAGTAGCATCTGATTGACTATTGGAAAAGTGATACCGTATGTGGAAGGATCTTGTTTCTTGGAAAGTCCAGATAAGCAGACCAATTCCTAGGATGATCAAGTAGTGCACGCCCAGCTAACCGCAGTCATCAGGAACTTCGGGCACGTCCACAACGTGCTCACCGATAGCTTGAGCCTGACATTGAGCGGTAGTGGACCCACACTTTGAGCTTTCAGTGTCCGAGTCCGATTATCCACGTGTGTGCCTAGCTATGTACTCTTCTTTTGACATCTTGCAAAAATCCCACACCTCCTCTTCAGTCTTGTACTTGGCTACGTATTCTCCCCTTGAAAGCTTGCAGAAATCCCACATCTCCTCTTCGCTTGGAGTGGCAACTGCTGCATTCAGCGGCTCGAAGCGAGCTCCATGAGATAAGAGGAGCTGCAGCATTTCAGGAAGCCTCTCGCAATTTGCGACTCGTAGATAGTAAGGCACGTGACTCCATGCCAACACAAGTGGTGAGCCGGATACACAGCTGATATTTGGATCTGCACCTCGTTCGAGCAGATAACTCGCTGTTGCCAAGAACTCGGACATGTGCCCGAAATCTCTGAAGCCTAAGATGACAGCATGAAGGGCTGTCCCGTCAGGTCCAAAAACCTCATTGACATCCTCACCACGATCGAGAAATAGATCGATCTTTTCTACTGCATCTTTGAATGTTTGTGCCGAGGCCCAAAGTGCGCCAACCCTTTCGTCTCCGTTGGTTCTGAGGCGTAACTTGCCGGCAGGTGTAGAGTACAAAAATAATTCCAGAATCTCCACAATATTGTACCTGATTGCATATAAGATGTTTGCATCATTGACATGCACATTGCTCTCCAAGATCTTTTGGAGGAGTTTGAGACCCCAGTTACGCTCGACTTCAAAGTGATCATGTATAAAATATAGGGCCATGTTAAGTGTGTCATTCCCAAGCGCATTAACATCAGCACCATCCGCGATGGCTTGTTCCACTGATAAAGCCAATCCATGACCTGCAGAGCAGAGCAGCGTCAGATCCAGCGAAGTGGGATTCGAGAAATAGCGCGTGCAGTCATCGAAACATGAGCGGGCTCCTTCGTGGAGCCGAGCTATGCTTGTGTTCAGACATTGACGTACATAACTGTAAGAGGAAACGCCAAGTTGCTTTTCGCACGTTAACGCATACTCAAAAATCGTTGCAGCTGAATATCTTGAAAAATTGAGAAGATTGAGGTCAGGGTTGATACGACGGTAAATCTCAATGTTCCACCAACCGACCAGCACAGATCCTGGCAAGAAATAGCTTGCATAGAGATCGTGAATCACAGCTCGTTGTTTTGGTTTTGAATCTAACCTTTGCAGCTCTTGCGACACCATATTCAAATATGTTGAGCAGATCTGAAGCCATGGAGAAGGTACTTCCAATCGTGAGTTTGACAGCCAGTCGTTGCATTCCAGATACGACTGGACAGTCTTGTGTGTAAGCTTGACAATGGAAAGATTGAATACATTAATGGCACCAGAAGTGAGCTTAACCTTTCTGACGTTAATGACCACCTCAATAAGACCTCCCGTCAAAGACCTAATCCTTCTCAAGAATTTTTCGCAGGTCTCAGGCTGCACTGGGCCTTTTTGCAGGCGTGTTTCACCTAATACAGATTCTATTGCGATTGACAAGATCTCTAGTGTTAGATCACCTATAGCAAAAGCTACCAAACGAAACATCATGCTCGCCTCAGCTCTTTCGTCTGTACTCAGGTTGTTGATGATCCGAGAATAAATGTCCTCCAGTTCTGGGGGAAGGCTCGCTAGTCTTGCCGATAGCTTTGTTATGTTTTCGCCCTTTTCAAAGCTTTTCACGAGCTCGTAGACTGCAAATCGAGCCCACAGAAAGACACCGTTCGCCTTCTCCGTAATCTGCTTGATTAGGTTTTCTTTGTCTTGGTTTGATGCAACAGGATAATCCTTAACGAACGAAGAAAGGAATCGCTTGATGCCAGAAGAATTATAAATTTCTAGCTGGAACTTTGGACAATGCGTCAATGCTGTCGAAATATATGGCCCAGGACGGCTAGCAACACAAAGTTTTACTAAATAGCCCCCGGTGCTGGGGACGGTTTTTAAAAACCTTGTGAGCTGAATCATATCGCCTTGATATTCATCTAGGCCATCAATGAAGATGCACAGATTACTCGGCATTTGTCTGAGTAATGCTTCCAGTAACCTTCGGGTCTGCGTTAGGGACATCGTCGAGACATGTCCCTTACCACGAGTGAAATCTTGTAGCACAGACCTAAGGTCGTCCACCTTTTCGAGAATTTGGAAAAGCAGAGATTTGAGAAGACCTTCGAAGTTGTTGGAGATGCCTTTCCCGGCACGGAAGTCAAAGAAGAAACGAATGATCGTCCACTCAGAGGCACGAGCGATCTTCAACCTTTCAGAAGTATTGCAATCTTTGGCGAGGTAATCCATCAGGGTCGATTTACCACTCGCAGGTTTCCCGCAGATCCAGAATAGCCCCGACTCCTGTGCTAGCCAGTCGGAGAAACCTGGCGACCCAGGTCCAGTCTCCCATATCCAGGCAAACGTCTCAGGTTCTGCTTCTGCCGCTTCAATCTGAAACTCTCGAGCAAGCCTTTCTGTGTAGTCGAATATGTCGAGGATGTCATATCGTTTTTGTGCTGAGTCGCTGAGCTCTGCACGATCAGGGATATGCGCGCTATCTGTTGAGCTGGAGATCAGCTTCTACAAATGAGACAAGGATAAAGAGGCCAAAGAGCGTAACTGAGAATAACATCGCGTCCTGCGGAAATGTGACCCTGCACCGCAGGTCCGCCATATGTTTCCGTCCGGCCTGACCAGTGTAGGCTTCGAAGAGGCCCAGAATTTGACTTATATCGCCTTTCTTCTGATTCATCGTCGGAAAGGTGTAGAGACCCTTTCATTGTTTCAAACCAGGCGTGCTCGAAAATTCGAGGTTACGATCCGGTCTGCAAGGTATGGATGGCTCTATTAGTGTCGAAGAACTGACTTCACCTGCCAGCCGCGTCCCATCTATCAATATTGGAACGCGTCTGTCAAGATGTAATGTATTTTTTCACGTTAAGCATGGTTGGAGCGCTCGCAATGAAGGATGCAACCCACGAAATCTGGCTTGCAGATGGCAGAGATCAGCTGCGCACTGTAGATGTGATCAGGCTGAGGCAACTAAGCGCCAGGGTTCTTGGCTGTTAGGGCTCACTTTCCTATTTCGGATAACTACCATGCCATATCTGGCGTCACTCGATACGGTTGAGTCAGCATATTGAAATTTACAGAAATCAACTACAGAGTGTGATTGTCTGTATTTCTTGATCTTGAAGGAGTCCAAAATCAAGTCCGAGTGACTAGTGTCAACTCGATTTAAGCCGTTGTGGTCCAGAGAGGCCATTTCTAACTGTTCCTTGAGACAAGCATTAAGTTAGGCACTATTACCCGCAGTTGTCCCCCGAGGCTCTCCCGCTCGCTAGCGCTGTCAACTGTACTCCGTACTTCACCCAGGTTCCCCGCCATCCAGACTCACCTCCACGTCATATGCTGCAACAGAATGGATGTTGATATAACCCACCAAGATTCAAAACCACTATCTCACGCGTTACAAGAGCAGAGATTGAGCCGTTTAGCTTCCAGAATTCTGGTCTGAAATATCCAGCTCCTGTCTGAAACACCACACATTACCTATGTAATACGTTTCCCTTTTGCATCTGCGTCTTGCTTTATTCCGTCCTTCTCAGGGCAATCCGTCTACGTGTCTTTCACCACCTAGTGTGTTTGGGGCCCAATCCACTTTACGATTACATGCTATCCGTCCTGGTTTTTCGTTCTCTCTGATCTTCTGACCTGTTTGTTCTGAACCCATCCCCGTTCTTGTACTCGACCAAGTCGTCCTCAGATCAGTGCCCACTGAACACTAAGACCGATGGCACGATGGGCAACAGAGACACATCTAACATGAAACCCAACATTGGTGTCTACACGAACCCAGCCCATGACCTCTGGGGTGCCCCAGCAGAACCAGACGTCGAACATGTGCTTGATGGCTCAACGCTCAAACCGGGCGAGGTGACCATCGAAATCAAGAATACAGGCATCTGCGGGTAATCACTCCTTCTCTCCTGCTCCACCTCATATGCATCACCCTCTGTTTACTAACCAACCTCACTCCCCCTCGGCCTTTCCAGATCAGATATCCACTTCCTAACCCATGGCCGCATCGGTCCCATGATCGTAACCTCGGACCACATCCTCGGCCACGAATCCGCCGGCACCATCCTCGCCATCCACCCCAACACCATCACGACTCTCAAACCCGGCGATCGCGTTGCCATTGAGCCCCAAATCCCCTGCCACTCCTGCACCCCCTGTCTCCACGGCCGCTATAACGGCTGTGAAAATGTCTCCTTCCTGAGTACACCCCCCGTCCCGGGCTTGCTGAGACGCTACATCACCCACCCAGCCATGTGGTGCCACAAGCTCCCTGACAGTCTGTCATTCGAGGAGGGCGCGATGCTGGAACCACTTTCCGTGGCGCTCTATGCCGTCGAGAAATCCGGATTGAGGCTCGGTGATCCAGTTTTGATCTGTGGCGCTGGCCCCATCGGGCTGGTGACGCTGCTATGCGCCAGAGCGGCAGGGGCTCACCCCATCATCATCACAGATCTAGATGCGGGGCGTCTATCCGCGGCGAACAAGTTCGTCCCGTCTTGCAAGACCTTCCTGATTCCCCAATCCGGCAACCAGACACCCGAGGATATCGCAACGCAAATCGTACAAGACTTAGGCATCGAGCCCTCCGTAGCCATCGAATGCACAGGCTCCCAACCCTCCATCGCGACTGCCATCTTCGCCGTCAGATTCGGCGGGGCCGTCTTCGCGATCGGGGTAGGGAAATCGGAGCTGGAGCTTCCATATATGCGCCTCAGCACGCGGGAGGTAGAGTTGAAGTTTCAGTATCGCTATGCTAATACGTGGCCAAGGGCTATTCGGATCATGGAGGGTGGGTTGGTGGATTTGAAGCCGTTGGTCACGCATCGGTTTGGCGTGGAGGATGTACAGGAGGCTTTTGGGGTGGCGGGTGATAGGGCGAGTGGGGCGCTGAAGGTTATGGTTGAGATGTAAGGGTTTGGGAGGAGGGAGTGTGTTCATGTTTGGTTCAGTATCATGCATGCGAAAGATAGCAGGAATGTGCAAAGGTTCTCAAAGCTAGTCTGGTTGGATTTCTTTCCCACGAAAAGCTTGTTGATCTATCAATTACCTAGGCGGTCTGACATGAAGGAAACATTGGCCATTTTGATGGTTCCTGTGACATTCCTGATCTCAATCTCCATCCTTCACTTGAAAGAGGTTTTATCATATGAAAGGAATGCAGGCAGAAGAAGGTGGTATTTCGAGACCTTTGAGTACGAGGCAAGGCATGAAGCGCTCATTTCGAGCTTGTGCTCCTCCATAGTAACCAGGAGAAGAGAATCCGTGAAATGATCTGACGCTACAATAAGGCATGAGAGGCGAGGATTGGGACCCGGCTTGGTACGAGCCTGAAGAGAGCAGAGAAGTGAGCGAGGGCGGTAGAATCTACTTGCAAGGTGAAGAATGATCAAAGAAGTTGTTGACCCGATGCTGCCGAACGGGTCTGACTGATGGGAATAGGGGCTTTTCATGTCAAAGGAGGTGATCAAGATTAATGAGCAGGGTTGCAGTCACAGAACATGCCATGGACCTATGAAGGAAGTTCTTGTTGTTTCGTATGAGATTTGAGCTCTGTCTTGTTGGCTTTTCGCCAACGATCTCACAAGTTTAGAGGTTTTTATCTGAATCGATGCCTCATAAAGCTCTGGTGGTCGTCTCGTTAGGTGCAGATGCAAGCTCGGCATTTCTGCAAGTCCTTCTCTCCAACACTGATGATATCTAGTGAGCAATAGCTCCTGCCTACCACATGCCCTGGCGTAGCGTGCACAGGTCCAGGTATTCTTCTTCGAATCTCTACCCAAAGACATCGATCCCTGCCCAGACGAAGAGGGCGAGAACGCAGTAGATGACGAAGGTGGCTTTTGACTTCTCCAAGAGAGGCACAGAGCATCTGTCTGATTCACCTCTGCACACCTGGAACAGCTCAGATATCATGGCTTTCTCGAACTTCCTCCCCACCTTTTTATCACATGCGAAGCAGCGTCGCTCCTTGTGGAGACCCCGATCGAGACCAATCCTCACGGCTGTGAAATCCTTCGATTCCTCCTTATTCAAGAGAGGGGATCCGGAAAACTTGAAGAAGTCGTTCCCATCGACAATATTGAGACACCCATAGCAGGGTCGCATGCTGAGCTCGCCGGCTTCCTTCAATTCGGTTTCTGCACACTCAATGTCTTCGTACATTAGGTACACCATTCGGAGTAATTTCTCCTTGACGAGTGTGCGGAAGTGCGGAGTAATACCGGCAGCGCTGACAACTGAGGCCGGATCGAGGTAGGAAAGGATTTGAAGATGAATCTCGGTTGGCAAGCTGGGCAAGGACATATTTGGTTCTCTGCTGAGTGGGTTCAGTACATGAGCGTGTAACTATATATATAAACGCAGCTGACGCACTCTGTGCCGTTGTTTGTTCGAAAGTCTTGGGACTTGACCGTGATAGCTTGGATATCACAGTGCAGAGGTAAGCTCGGTTGTGAGGGTCCAAGGGAGATTGGAGTTGAGGTCTGAGAGGGCTGTTGCTGAGCAAGTAGAATTTTCTTTTAGGCGTGTTGATGATGATGCTTCTGGAGAAGATGCTTGGGTGTGCAGAACGTTGTTGTTCGTAGAGAAAAAATGTTGGGTGTTTTTTTAGCAGAGGGCAAGCAAATGATGTCGCTCTAAGCTTAGAATGCTCAGCATCACATCGTGAACAATGGCTGGAACGCGCCCAGACACAAAACACCATCAATGCCGCCTTTCGTCTATGCTCCCTCCTTACCCCACAAGACCCTCTATGCTCCTGATTCTCACCCATGGACCCGATACCTGCTCCAAAGCTGTTTCGGGCTGCACGTTCGCCTCTGCCCTGGCTCCTTCAGCCTCCTTCCCTAGGATGGCATCGATCAGGGCCTCTGTCTGCAGCCAGCCATTTTGTCGACTCTTTTCTGCTTTGTCACCAGGAAGATCTGTTTGCAGATCAATGTTGAATTCGGTTACGCTTTCCACAATGTCAAGTTGCTTGGCCAGCTCAGCCCCCTCCTGCTCTGCCCAATGGATCTGCCTTCTCAAAAGGCGATACAGCTGCGATGGTGGAAGAGCAAGCTCATGGTCATCCAGAGCATCAGCAACATCGGAGGGATAATAGCCGTGGGGAACAGGAAGCATAAATGGTAAACTATCCATCTCAACGGCACCTGCTTCGCCATTTTCGTCCGGAATACCGTCTGTCGGCAAGGATGGTAATTCTCCCACGACAGACTTTGGTCGGTCACCGTTGTTGACTATCAATTTGATCCTCTTTAGTGACCCATTGCTACCAGAACCCCCTGCAGCCCGGCTGGCTGCCTCACTGTGACCTTTTGGCACAGGATCGCTAGGTCGTAGGGCCTCCGTCTCATGCACGGTCCGCATATGTTTCGCTAGGGCATCGCTTCGTGTGAAGCACCGATCGCATTCCGGCAGCTGGCAGTAGAATGGTTTTTCCCGAGTATGACTTCTCATGTGTGCCTTCAGAGCATAGCCACTGGCATGTGGCATGCTTTTCCTACTGCAACCTTCCCACTCACACGAATATTTCTTCTGCCGCTGGCCTATATGCTCCGTGTGGATGTGGTCGACGAGACGATCCATATTTCCCTGGTCAGGCTCAGGACAGTCAGTCCAAAGGCACCGAGTCACTTGTATTGCATCACCAGCATCTGGATCATCTGGATTAGCTTGGGAGGCAGCATATGCTGAGGACAGAGGATGAGTGGGAGCAAGATGAGCGAAAGAGGGCGAGTTCGGTACATCGCCAGAGGTATCAGAAGAGATGGATCCTGAAGGTGATGGTGGAGCATGCATTTGCATATCACCAGCAAGTGAGATGGGGGTTGCATGATCGTAATTGGATGCGCCGATCCTACGTCTCTTGGATGGTGGCATTGCCATGGGAGTTGAAGCAGATGGTGAGCCGGTGGCAGAAATCGTTCCGTCTACTGAGCGAGAATCGTGCTGGAGATCGTCGTTGTCTTCTTCGTCAGATGGAACTGAGGATAGTGGAGAATCGAGGGAGCCATTGCTGGCCATGACGGGCTGGCAAGGATGATCAATTCACAAGCAAATGGTGAATTACAGCCTATATGTATGGACTGAGGGCTGAACAACAAGAAGTGATCAGGCATATTCAATGGCAATTAAACGGAAGGGGCCAGCTGCTCCAGATGGCGTTAGTCAAACGCTAGCCGGCAATACCCGATATTCCCGCTATCACCCCCACTCCATCACTTCTCTTAGGCCGTCTTCCCTGATGTCTTTCAGCCACTGCATTTTTACAAGAAGCTGCTTGCAGCGGAATAGGGACAATGACAAGACGTTGGAATTCGTCTTCACATCAGTCCAGGAGACCCAGCTAGGAGTGTTGCCTAATTTGACAATGTTGTTATTCACCCCACGTCTAGATTGGCTGAGTATCTGGGCAGTAATTGCTTGTGGTGAGAGGATCTGAATGAGAAGAAATGATCGTGTCCATGTATGCAAATTCTACGGCTAACATCGTGAAAGTTTGTGAAGATCCCGGGATCATCTACTTATGCTTTACGGGAATGCTGCTTCTGAGTCAGTCAGTCCGTTGTTGGCTCTGGCACTTCGTCTAGTCAAGTCGAAATCGACGGGGATATCGGTTTGACCTACATTGAAGTAGATGATATCAATCTGAAGAACATTGCTTCAAGTCACGGAGTGGGCATGTGTAACATGGTCAACAGGCTCGACTAAGATACTAGGTCAACGTCCCTTTGCTGAGGAACATAATGCTATTGCAGGGATCACTTGCCTAGGAGAGAAGGTTCCTTCCTGGCTATTTAATATCCAGCACTAACGTGCACACTCTTAATTTTCTCACATTTCCTACAAGCGATATCACCAGCCACTACGTACCTTGATCAGGTGTATATACTCTAGAATACATCACCAAGTCACACCTGCCAAGGCCTTTAGCATTGCATCTGCCTACTATATGAGCTGTTCTTCCTACGGTAGTCGTCGCACCATCTTAAACGCCTCGGATGTGAAAGCTCGATCATTCCATAGAACTCACAGGCGGTGTGATATCCATTCTGCTGGAATTGACTCCAACGTCGGGGCGCCTACTCAGATTGCTTCGTACTGTAGCATTTGCACGCTGGGAGCTGTACCAAAAGGCGATCCCCCATTCTTCAATCGGAGTGAAGTTGAAATTTACGTGAATAGGAACCTGTCCACGATATCCCGGAACGTAAATATACATTATTTTTAAAAATACCCTCGACATACTCCTCACTACTTTCCAGATCACGGTAATTACAATGGTAAAATGCAGTAGCTTGTTCTACATTTCATCATACGTACTTCTCACTCTTCTACTACTTGTAAAGGCTGACCAGTTTACTGCTCTGCACAAATCGAATTGATGAGCTAAATTGAAAGACGCACGGAGTATCTGTCATTTGAAGAGGCGGAGGGCAAGCATTGAGGCTTCTCGTTCGGGCATACTTACTACTAGTAGTTAGTAGCGGCAGACTTCTGTGGAGCCCTGCCGCCCACCCATTAAAAGCCAACATCCCTTTTTAGCGAAGCCTTTGCTGGGGTATTTGCATGTGACGTATTACGTAGTACGGAGTAGACTTCGAGTAAAATGTCTGCGGAGCCCTCTTGGCGCAATTTTCTCTTCCACACACGTGCTGTGACTATTAATGCGGTGACAACAATATGAGAGCGCAGCAACTGTGGAGGAGAAGCGCTGCTCTCTCACACGTAAGGAAATATTCAATGTGACAATATCTCAGACTGACTCTTTGTAGCAAGCACGATACTATGCCAATCCAGCATCTCCGTCTCACCTCAATCCACACCCTACTCGGAAAGTGGCCATTCCACCCTATCAGAAGATCCTCAGGAAATTTGAAGACGTACGCCGTATTCTGCCAAAGAAACACCTTACTCTTGCAGAGAAGATTCTCTATTCTCATTTGGCGAATCCCGAGGAGTCATTGCTTACCAGCACAAACAACGGCGACAACATCCGAGGAAATGCAAACCTCAAACTTCAGCCCGATAGAGTGGCTATGCAAGATGCCTCAGCACAGATGGCACTACTACAATTTATGACGTGCAATTTGCCTTCTACGGCTGTTCCAGCTAGCATACACTGTGATCATATGATTGTGGGGGAGAGAGGAGCAGATACCGACCTAGCTGAGAGTATCAAGGGCAACAAAGAGGTCTTCGACTTCCTGGAAAGTGCCGCTAAGCGATACGGAATCGAGTTTTGGCCACCAGGAGCTGGCATTATTCACCAAACTGTGCTAGAGAACTATGCAGCACCAGGTCTGATGATGCTGGGTACGGACAGTCACACACCAAATGCAGGTGGGCTGGGAGCAATCGCAATTGGCGTGGGCGGTGCCGATGCTGTAGACGCTTTGGTTGACGCACCCTGGGAATTAAAAGCTCCCAAAATCTTAGGCGTGAGACTGGAGGGAGAATTGTCCGGCTGGACCTCTCCAAAAGATGTTATACTGCACCTTGCTGGCTTGCTCACTGTTAGGGGTGGTACAGGGTTCATAGTTGAGTACCACGGATCTGGGGTTAACGCACTCAGCGCCACCGGAATGGCCACAATCTGCAACATGGGAGCAGAGGTCGGAGCTACAACATCCATATTCCCCTTCTCCAGCAGTATGATTCCATACTTGAAAGCAACTGGTCGAGGTTCAATGATAGACGCTGCAAAAGGCATCGCTTATGGACCAGGTCCTTACAATTTCCTGAAGGCTGATACAGATGCCCAGTACGATGAGCTTGTAAGGATCGACTTGTCATCATTGGAACCTCACATAAACGGACCTTTTACGCCTGACCTCTCAACGCCTCTGTCTAAATTTGCAGATGCCGTCAAAGCCAACAAATGGCCAGAGACCTTTGGAGCTGGCCTCATTGGTAGCTGTACCAATAGCTCCTATGAAGACATGACACGAGCTGAAGATCTGGTGAAGCAAGCTGCCACCGCTGGTCTGAAACCAAAATCTGATTTCTTCATAACGCCCGGAAGTGAGCAAATTCGGGCAACGCTAGAAGATAGCAACACGCTACAGACATTCTCGTCTGCAGGTGGTACCGTTCTTGCGAATGCTTGTGGCCCCTGCATTGGCCAATGGAAACGTACCGATGGTATCCAAAGAGGCGATTCAAACGCTATCCTATCCTCCTATAACAGGAACTTTCCAGGGCGAAACGACGGCAATGCAAAAACAATGAATTTCCTTGCTAGTCCAGAGATTGTCACTGCCATGTGTTACAGTGGCTCGATGAGTTTCAATCCGACCACTGATTCTATTGGTGACTTCAGGTTTCAGCCTCCCAAAGGCATGCATCTGCCAAGCGGTGGCTTTTCAATGGGCAATCCGGACTTTCAACCCTCTCCTGCTCGTCCTGATCATTCCGTAAATGTTGTTATTGACCCGCACTCAGATCGCCTAGCTGTGCTAGAGCCATTTGATCCGTTCCCTGAGGCAGGTGTCAAACTGAGAGTTCTTTACAAGGTCAAGGGCCAATGTACAACAGATACTATCTCAGCCGCTGGTCCATGGCTGAAGTACAAAGGGCATCTGCCAAATATCAGCGAGAACACCCTAATCGGGGCTATCAACGCAGCGACTGGTGAAACAAACATGGCCTATGATTTCGACGGCAGTAAATACGGCATTCCAGAACTGGCTGCTAAATGGAAGAGTCAGGGCCATAGCTGGCTCGTTATAGCGGAAGACAACTATGGGGAAGGATCTGCACGTGAGCACGCAGCATTGCAACCTAGGTATCTTGGTGGTCGCATTATCCTAGCCAAAAGCTTTGCAAGAATTCATGAGACAAATTTGAAAAAGCAAGGCATTGTACCCTTAACATTCGAAGACAAATCAGACTACGACAAAATAGATGCCCTAGACGAAGTTGAGCCGGTTGGACTTCTTAATGTGTTGAAGAGTGGAGGCACTGGTCACATTGAGCTTCATGTTACGAAAAGGGATGGTCAACCCTTCAATATACCTGTTAAGCATACACTCAGCAAAGATCAGTGTGGATTTGTGCTGGCCGGAAGCGCTCTGAACCTGCTGGCAAAGAAAGGTAAACTTCCAAGCATCTAATCATGCAACTTGTTGCTATTCTGGGGGTCTTTCCCCATCCTCTATCACTGATCCTCAAACTTGTGGTTTGCTTGCTCGGTGTTACCGCCCGTCTGAAACATCGGGCCAGCGTGCTGGTTGTGCAGCAGCTTAACAAGGCCGCACGTCATTACAACTGCTGCGCCTGACTCTGCAACAAGGACCGATTGTCCAATCTAACAGCCGTATTAGCTTGGACCTTGAGTACGTTCAAGCTGGAGCGGGGAGTCTCCGAGATCTTCGCGGGTCCCTGCCACGAATCCGCAAGGACCAACACATGGCTCCATTTGGGCATCAATGCTGTAAGCACCATGCTCCTCAGCGGTAGCAATTACTGCATGCAGATTCTCTCGGCGCCTACACGGAAAGAAATTGATACCGCTCATGCGGGCAGGGAATGGCTCGATATCGGTGTGCCGAGCGTAAGGAATCTCAAGAATGTAGCGAGGATGAAGGTGGTGATGTGGTGGCTTCTTGGCTTGAGCTTCGTACCACTGCATCTGATGTACAACTCGGTTTCCTTCTCCATCATAGCGACAAACAAGTACAATGTTATTTTTGTAAACGAAGCATTTGTAGAAGGTGGCCCAAACAGTTCTTGGAACGAGTCGAAGTTCCCTGGAATCAATTATGTCCAAGCTCGAGCAAAGACTTGGGAGCGCCTTGACGGGCTTGCTTGCCTCACTACGTACGCCGTCGAGTTCCTTAACACTCGTTAGGAGACATCCAGTGGCGGTAGTCGTGGACGACTTGATGGTTGCCAATGATTCAGTTAAGCACGTAATGCCAGCGGTTTTCGAATACGATATAAAACTACCCAGCATCTTCAATCCATCTGTCTGGATATACGAAACCAATGATGGTGACACTCGGTACGGCTAGACCAGTAGAGAGAATCGCAGAGAATATCCCTGCTCTGGCGATGGTGTCCAAAGTCAAGGCCCATGCTGAACGCTGGCACACAATGGGTTGGGACATCGAATTATTGCCTCAGCGAACCAGTCGAGGGCAAGGGCAGCCTGAGTTACAGCCTCTCAATCATTGTTGTGGTGATAATACTATACAACATCACAAAGGCTCTCGTCATGCTCTTCATTGCTTTTGGCATTAGAGACAACCCACTTCTCACGGTTGGGGACGCAGTTGATTCGTTCTTGAATGTCAACGATCTGAATATCAAAGAGATGTGCTTGGCTAGCAAGGAGAGCATTCATGCCGCCGAGATGGTACCGAATTCCGCAAAAGAGGTACGGGGTTAGCCCTTAAAGTACAAACGAAGGTTCAACGACTATGCCATTCAGCGTCTTTAATCAGGTGGCAGATCATCGTGATCTTGTGCGTTGGGTGCTCTCCACTGCATGGAGGAGCAGCAATGTAAGTGTGTCCATTTGGATCAAATTGAGTCAAATGAATCGAATCAGATGCTTGGCGAATAGACCAAATCTGTGCTTTCATCAAAAGGCCTTTGGTGAAACAAGTAAGTATTCAAGATTATTTTTGATGAAAGAAAAGGACTTGGCGGACTCCGTTTGTGAGACGAAAATCCTTGACAGTCCTCGTAATAAAATATTGCTTACCAACATTTGACACCATTTGACAAACAAGTCAAATCAAATCAAATCGACCTCTAGGATTACTAGTAGATGGGCAAATCCAATGGGGCTTATGATCTGTGTTATTTGATTTGATGGATACACTGGAGGGGCTAACTCCCAACAGGGTTGATTGTTGCATGATTGCTGTTACCCCTTTTCTAGGAGTTGGAATCAGCACAGCCAACGGCTACAATGGTCTGAACATATCATTCACTGGCTTCCTGTCATACGGTCTGGGAGCCGTAAAACCTCAGACGCTCATTAGTGGTTGGAGTCTTGGATCCAACCCACTGGTCGCAAGTGTGTGAATCGCGAACATACCACAACTCATCCTATCGCTCCAGTATCTTCTCTTCAACGCCCTCTTCACAACAAGGTGTGCTGCAGCTGAATGGTCTATTTTCGTCCATGAACGTAAAAGCCTTCGAGTTCCGACCCAAAAACCCGGCCAGAGATCGACTTATTTCTACAACTACCCTATCGATACGCCATACCTCTCATGATCTTCTCCGCTGTCTTACATTGGTCTGTCTCGCAGTTGATCTTCATTGCCCAGATAACCTCATTTACCTGAGATGGTGAACTTAAGAGTGCTGCCGTAATATCGACCTGTGGCTTCTCTCCAATTGTGATCATGATCACTATGATCATCGCGTTCTGCTTGACTGCTTTACAGCCCTTCTTGGTTTCTGCAAATACAATTCCGGCATCCCGCTGGCCGGCAGCCGTAGTGCTGCGATTTCTGCTGCATGTCATGGACCAACAGATATTGAGACCAGTGCGCGACTACAGTGGGGCGTTACCTCGGCAGATGGTGCTGAGATAGGACATTGCGCCTTTTCAGACCAGGCTGTGGCAATACCGATAGAAGGAGCACTATATGCAGGTAACAAAAGAAGGGATTGGTAGCACGCTTGGAGTGAGCAAAAAACCATCTTTTCATGGAAAGCTACTGGCTCACAATTGACTGATTGGCTGGAAGTTTTATCAGCACGACACAAAGGCTGTTCTCGCTCGCTGAATCCCTTGTCAATATCTACCGTGAAATCACTCCGAGTTCGGAAAACTAGCTGTAACCATATGTCTCAGCGCATTGGAGATTAAAGCAACGGACAGCGAAGGAACCGTGGGAAACCTGCCTACGGCCACCTTGAAGAACAGAATCACTGACAGCCAGGGGCCTATGCTTCTGTGCGTGGTGCTTCTGGCTGAAAGAGGAGATATGAATTGCCAGGGAAAACACCTGGAATGCTGTCTAGGTTGGTCGAAACAGTCGGTAGTATACTACTTTTCTTACCGCTTCGGGAGTGGTGTCTAGACCTAAGATAAAAAGTCCCGAAGGTTTGGAGGGATAACATTGATAGTCAACTGAGATCTTGACAATGCGACTTGGTAGAGCGGACATGTTCACATCTTCAGCCAACATTCGATTGACGCGACATGAACCCGGTTCACAAACTCTTGGAGTCAAGCATCTACCGGTCCAGCTTTGCACCAACGAGAAAAGGGGCAAAGGGTCAATGACGGCTACTACTGAAGCGGCAAGACACAAGCCAGCACCGTCTGCGTTACGGAGGATGAGTTCTGGAAGTCGCTGCCTAGCTTAATGTACATTATCACTGAGGTCCAAAGCGCAATCTTCGAGGAGGTATAGGGAGAGAGAGCAATACTAGTGGCAGTTGAGCGAGAACTAGATACTATGGAATATACCAAGCTAAGAATTCGGGATGTACAATGGAGCGGATGAAAGGGGCCGGTTCGGCTGGATTGTTTGCCTTGTACTTCCTCGATGGTAGCTTGAACACTGAATACTAGCAATCCCGATACTCAAAAAGGTTCTTACACCCTTTTAAGTTGTTCCGCTTATACCTGAAAGGGCCGCTGTGCTATGGTATGATCCAAAACCCAAGTGTCTGCTTCAAACTGTGGTCGTTCCTCTCGAAAATCATTCATATATCTATCCAGCAAGTGCAGCAGATCAGATCCATGACCAAGTAGCTACTATACAGATATCACCCATACCAGTAGCAGAATTTCGGACAGGATACTTATCCAGCAGCACGCCGAGATATACGAACGAGTGTTGACCGAGTAGTACTTTTGATCAGAGAAGTTGCATCTGATCTTATACGCAGGCCGGGGGTGTCAACACGGGTATGGATGTCCCCCCACGGCATACCCACTACGTTAGGTTCTGTAGTGAAGGCATGAAGGGCGCAAAAGGTATCGGATGCATGCGAGGGTAATCTAGCAAGCGTTTCCGAATGAGACTGTTGTTGCGAAAGTCTTCTGTCTCCTCCACGAAAGACCTTTGCTCGATAGGCATGGTGATAGCTTAGCACGTCGATTTCTCCGAGACAACGCGGCTGGCGGTGATCGGCTGTCAAAGAATTGGTTTGAAAGAGTACTGGACCGGAGATCTTGTTGGGCTTTCGTAGCTGATTCAACATTGACAGCTGAGATGGAGATTAAGATGGCATCGCATCGCGCTGTGGATCATGTAGGTTCTGTTGTTGCTAGCTGGCGTTGACGGGAATGTAAAAGGAGGGAGGTAATGTAACATGAATATTATCAACAATCAGGGCGTGCAGAGGAGAGAATGGATAGTCAGGCGCTAGGAGACAGCTCACTAGCATTCACCAAGCTACTCGACATTATTCTCTGCAGTTCTTGTCTGATTCGAGATGTTTAGTAATGAGTTTCTATGTCTCCACTAGCAAGAATTTGTGTGCATACACAACTTGGAGCCCACATCCTTTCAGGCCAGAGACATGATGACTTCCGGAACGTAGATAAAGCAAACAGCAAAGCATGCTTTCTTTTGTGACATGGCTGTGACAAACTGGAACCGGGGTATCGTCGCTAAAAAAGAAATTTTTTGATGGCACAGTAGTACGGTGGAGAGCGACATAGGTGAAATCTCCGAAAGGACCGACATCGAGGAGGGGCGGGATGGCTCTTTGTGTAGCTACGCACCAGTAGCGCCATACAAAATGTTATCGATTTGGTGAGTCCGCAAGTGGTTCAGTCAATCAGATCCAGGACCTCAATCTTGGAATCCGTCTTTGTGACACCTCTGTCAGACCCGTTATGCTCAGCCGCCGCACTACCATCTTCGGAGTCGCTCGCAAGGTCGATGTACTCCTTGCCATCTGCTGTCCTCACTACCTTTGCACGTTTGGTACCGTTTGTGGTCGAGCTTCGCTCCCTCTTGAGCTTCGACTTGCTTTCGGACTTCAGCTTTGCCTCCGCGGTTTCGATTCGTACCTGGCTTTGCTTTAGCTGGGTTAGATTTTAGGGGCAGGAAAATCCTCACATTTTGACGACGCACAAGCTCTCTCGCTTCCTCAGCGGTCAAGTCGTCGATGGACTTCTGCTCCAAAGGTACGGGGCTGGGAGAACGTGGGATAATCATGAGCTGTTGGAGGGCAGCTATGATATTCGAATTCAACCTTTTGATCATCGAGGAAGCATTTAATACACTCACTTCTGGATCGATACTTGAAATCAAATGCAGCTACGGGTATTGAATCGAGGTATGTGCCTCTACACTCCGGTCTGCCTCGTGACGGAATAGTATCACCGAAACTCCAGATCTGTCAGCGTCGTTAAGAATGGCACCAGTGTCACAAACCTCGCAGAGAGAGATAGAGCTTTGCCCTTCAGTGCTTTCTCTGGAACGGTCCCAAGTTGTGGATTCTGAATCGTACGTGCAGATTCTTCTAAGGATTTTGTGTATTCGGTATCGAACCGCCAGAATTCTACTCGAATAAGCCCGAGGCTCGAATACTTAGCATTCATCTCCTTAGGCGTAAAATGATTCTCCGTATCACCTAGAGAAGTACGGGTTAGTCAGAGAGTAAGAAGACACGCTGAACTTACCAGTCACTATATCGGCGAATTTGAACTTCTTGAGGTACCACTCGTTGTCTCTGCCCACGATCGCGCCATCTTCCTTCCAGCAATTATTGTCGAAAGATGACCCCCCACACCGGATTACCACGCTGGTAGTCATAGTGCCATCCAAGTAGACCTGCATGGCCAATTCGCCCTCGAATTTCGACTGCGGAAAAAGACTGAATTTGATACTGAAGTTGGCACCGGAGATGGCCTCGACGTACTTCACAGCTGTGGGAATAGGCCCATCTGGGGTGGCTTCAGTATCATCTTCGTATTCTAGAACAGCTTCGTTGTTGACAAGAATCTGGCATCTGTAAAAGGAAAGAATTGCCATGATGAAGCTTCAATCTTAATTGGATGATCACACGAGAAAGGTTGGAATAGTGATTGAATAAATTGGGTATTAGAGCTACCAGACTGTGATCAATCTTACAGCAGGCTCAGCATCATTGTTGACAAGAAGTTCATGCTGGAGGAAACACAAGTTGATGTACTTCACCAGCTTTACGACAATCGACCACGTCTATAGCCGGGCAGTACCTTCAATGTTTTAGGTCCCGAGTGTGAGAGGAACACATTAGATGGCACAAAATTTTGGAAGTCCCGATCAGGCAATAAGCATAGCGGCAGTTCCTGCAATGCGCACAGGGAAGCGTGTTTCAGCCTAGGCCTGCCACTTTGTACCCATAGGTGGCACGTTGTTCAATCACCTGTAACGATACACAGAACAAGACGGGACACCAGCTCAGCTGACGGGCTGCTGGGTAACGGTGTCTTCGCAGCAGTGAATGGCTGGAATACGATAGCTTGATTGCTCCCCTCCAGAGAATAAGTACCGGCCTCTTCCCTTCTTCACCTGCTCTTCTAGTGTACTCCTACCCCATCCTATTCTGGAGAGCTCGCTATCTATCCCATTGAAGAGTATTCCACATGTTTCTAGAAGAAAGTTTTGCAGCTACTTTTCCTTGTGACCTTCCGCATTATCAGGCAGAATGCTTCACTCCAAGTCCTCAGCCCTCTTCTCCTTCATTGCCCTCACCTCCCTCATCCCATCGTCCCTCTGCTGGGGTTCCCTAGGCCACCGTACCGTGGCCTACCTCGCCTCCGAATACCTGACTCCGAACGGCAGTACCTACGTGGCCAACCATCTCAACGACGAAGACATCTCCGAAGCTGCCCTTTTCGCGGACAAAGTCCGCCACATGCCAATGTTCAACTACAGCGCTGGCTGGCACTACATTGATGCGGAAGATGACCCACCACGCCAGTGCGGCATCAATATCACGCGAGACTGCGCTATGCAGGGTGGGTGTATTGTATCCGCGATCGTTAATCAGACGGCGAGAATCATGAACGAGAGCACCAGCCATGCGGACAGAGGGCAGGCATTGAGGTTCCTGCTGCATTTCTTGGGGGACATCCACCAGCCGTTGCACACGGAGGCTGGGGAGAGGGGAGGGAACGCCATTCCGGTGCTGTTTGGGAACAAGCATACGAATCTGCATTCGATCTGGGATACGGATATGCTCGTCAAGTACGCTGGTGCAGAGGAGGACGAGAAAGCCAACGCTTTAACATGGGCCAAGAAGCTGTATGCTGCCGACCAGGATCACGCACGTTCCTTGGCTGCTGAGTGTCAGGATCTTGGTAAAGCTGCGGAATGTTCGCTCTTGTGGGCCCATGAGGCAAACAAATGGATCTGCGAGTACGTCTTGAAAGATGATGTGGCTGGTGTTGAGAACAAAGATCTCTCGGCAGAATACTATGATGGAGCAGTGCTGATCGTGGAGGCGATGATTAGCAAAGCGGGAAGGAGATTGGCAGCTTGGGTAAATGCCCTGGCTGTACATGCTTTGGAGTCGAGGTTGGGGAGCTTGAACGGCCTTTCCTACATAGAGGAGTTGATTCTCATGCAGCAGGATTTGTAGACCGAGCATGCGGACCAGATTAGAAGGAATTACACAGTTTAGGGTCATCAAGATGAACTTGTTATCAGGCTGAATCGCTCCGGGCTACTGTTGAGCACATATGTAGACTATTCCACCCCCAAGCTCAGTGTGAATAGCTAGAAACTTGACAACCAATGTCCGAGACGCCTGCTGCTCGCTACCACAATTTCTCAATCAGAATCATTAGCATCATCCTCCGCCGCTGTCCTCAGTTCATACGCCAAATCATAACATTCGCTAAGTAAACCAATCACGCTGCCCTGTCCCTCTGGAATGTCCTTGCCAATGGTGAACTTGCCATCCACCCTCATGTTGTCGATAGAGTTTAGCTTCATGCTGTACGGATAAAGTTCCCGTGGATTTGACACACCGCCAGACTTCTTGACTTCTAGCAGGCATCGTCGTAATGTCATTAATTGATTATAGATGGGGAGGAGGGCCTCGGAGACGGGTTCAGATGAGATTAGAAGCTGGTAGATGTAGGCATAGCCTCTTCGGAGAAGGTAGAGCATTGTCTGCTGGTGTTAGTATGGATCCCGCAACAATACGAAAGACATACTCGTTGTGTGTGTAGATCGGCCGGTTTGCCCTCTGTGTCCAAGAAATTGCCACCCCGTCGCGAATCATCTATCCGGTCAAGCTTTCTCTGCCACATATACAGATCCGTTTCTCGTAGTGACCATGCTTGTGTCATTGTCAGCTTTTCAAGATGGTTCCGAATCTCTATCAACTTGTCATAGGTATCCTGGAACCTCTCATCAATCTTTCCTCGCCTTCTAAGGTCAGCATTTGAACATTCTCCCAAACTGCATAAGTGCTCACTTCTCTTCCACAATATCGCACCATAGCAGACATCTCTCGAGCAAAGGTACCACCAGATCCTGGCATTCAGGTATCGAGCCGTCCTCAGCAGGCAGTTTGCCATCCTTCATGGTTGCTTGGATCTCCAAAAGCTGTGCTCGTAATTGCTCCAAGTCGGTTTTAGAAAACTATGACTGAAGTCAGAGAATGTGACAAATTGCAGTGGAATGAGCATACCTTGCTTCTGGTGTTCAGCGCAGCTGCACTTCTCAGCAAGGAGACCAGCTTTTCCCAGGTTGGTACCAATCCTGGATCTATCTTCTTCAGGTATTCCTGTAATTCCGCAAGTTGATTCTTGCACGTCTGCATTCGTGCTTCCAATAGTGTGACAAGGTGCGGGGAGTATGTCAGCTTTCCTCTTTCTACCGTCTCTGTCATATTGTCCAGGGTTTGTCCCATGCTGACAAGATCTTTCTGGCTGTAAAAAGCAGCTTCTTTGAGGTGATCCAGCAGGCGCTTGGTCCTAACTTAGAGAAGGATCTCACAACTGAGGTATATCAAACTCACGTTTATGGTGGAAGCCATAGAGTAACTTTCATGGATTAGCACGACATATTCACTTTGCGCCTGGCAGACTTACACAGCAGGAGCTTCATTATTTCTGCCGATTGTCAAGAAGAACAACGAAATGAGCTGGAAACAATCATCCAAGACAGTATCCACTACAAGCCTGTTAGCAATGTAAAGGTATGGAACACCAGCTCAAGCTCATCAGTTCTTCGGTGCGCCTTCTACCGACCTCTGTTCAACTCGAGTTGCTTCTGTCCCTCCTTCCGTATTCCGTTGAGCTTGCTCACCTGCTCTATTACCTGTTCGTATAGTGGAAGAACATCCTGCGACTTGACGTAGGTAGACTTGTCTTGCTTCAGAAGTAGGAGTTTATCGCGGATGATAAGGATCGAATCTAGGACGGGTTTCTCACTGGGATCGAGCGGTGCTGTGGCGAAGGGTGAGTCGGACATGACGGAAAGTATTCATGAGTTAGTAGAATCGTGCTTGCGTATAGACGACTTGTTCACCAGCGTTCTCGGTAGACAATATTATTTCATCGATCAAAATATGCACTGCGCACTTCGGAGATGCTGAGATCGGCAGAGATGCGTCAGTGTTTGGAGGAGTTGCACAAGCTTGGCAGCAATGTTCCCACACTCCGCACGCCCCTGTGAGACGCTAATCATTTTCCCACAAACAGAATATTCAAGATTCAGTGTCCATAATCGAGTTGACGACGACATCATCAGAAATTATCATCATAACACTGGTTCAAGATGTCTACCGCTGAGCTCGCCACATCATATGCTGCGCTCATCCTTGCAGATGATGGTGTTGCCATTACGGTGCGCTCGATCCTAAAATTCTGACTCTTTAAACATGGCTTACTAATTTTGATAGGCCGATAAACTCACAACACTGATCAAAGCAGCCGGTGTCAGCGACGTCGAACCAATTTGGGCATCATTGTTTGCAAAAGTGAATCGATACGTGCTAACATATAAATGACTGGGCTGATACGTCGAAGGCGCTCGAGGGCAAAGATGTCAAGGACCTTCTCCTAAACGTCGGATCTGGTGGGGGAGCCGCAGCTCCGGCTGCAGGAGGCGCTGCAGCTGGTGGTGCTGGAGGTGCTACCGAAGAGGCACCAAAGGAAGAGGAGAAGAAAGAAGAGGGTAAGACAGTCCTTTTATGCCAAAGTCACCCTCGCTAACACTGTTTTAGAAAAGGAAGAATCCGACGAAGATATGGGCTTCGGTCTTTTCGATTAGTCCTTCTTTACTGTCATCTGTCATATCAGCGATACATGCATGGGTTTCCGGTTATGCTGGATCGCGGATTGGATGGAACACTCGACTTCGAGGTGCGAGTACGATCTGTGCAGGACCTACAGAGATTGTTATCAGTCGATGGCTTTAGGCATCTGAAGTAAGGGCCCGCATGTGCTCGAGGAGACAATACAAATCGCACTGAAGTCTGCACCAAATATCGCTCCAAAAAGAACGGTTGCGTCCTTGTTTATTCGACAACCCTGTCGCTGATGGTTACCACTCCATTGCTGCTCATCATCCCTTTCTATTTCTAGCTTCAGCTGTATACGCTGATCCTAGCTCCCCTTAATTGTCCCGTCTTACTTCTACCATACTGTCAACGAGCAAATAACTTGAAGTTCTCATCCCTCCTCCTACTCGTTGGTTATTGGCACCTGCTACTCTGTACATCTGAGTTATAATCTCCATAGCATACCTTGCAGCACGAATGTTGTCTGTAGCTGCTCCGTTCCCTCCGATTATTGATATCAGGATGAGCATGTTTTTCGTTAGGAACAATACAGGGTAGGCGACCAGTATGGACTCCACCGCTATTTCAATATGAAAGTCCAGATCTGCAGCACGTCTAGCAAATCTAAGTCTGCCGTTCGGTATGCACTCCGGAAAGTAACGATCAAGACTCGAAAATCGGAGGAGAATCAAAGTCACCCAATCTTCTAAGCGTCGGATGACAATCTCGAGAATTACCATCGATATTTTCGTCGTCTGACAGCGTATACAGCCTGCGTAAGAAAGCTGAGCCAGGGGGAAGCCAGTCGAACAGCACGCAAGTGAGGTCGAATAGTCTGGTCTTTTCGTGGCCTGGCTTACTGAAATAGCTAAAACGGAGCTCAAACAATACAATCCCAAAAGGTCTTTACGTGGATAGCTTGATAATTTTGCAGATGATGAATATCCTCCCCAAAAAACCATGGGCTCTGTCTTGCATTTGAGATTTCTACAAGTAACGGTCAAAGAGGCCAAGTTGCAAATCTTGTTTTGAGAGGGACTATTTGTGGAGCCATGGGTTAACCCGGTTGGTCTGCCGACCGACGTGGGATCGAAGCCGTTGAACAGATTTAGGATGTGGCTTTCTGCTGGCAAAATTTTAGGAGCCAAGACGGCCAGGAACCAGGCTCAGTGCAGGGTCACCTGAGATTCGACTCGACCGTAGAACCAAGCTTTTGTCGAGCCAATGCAGAAGCTTCGTCATACGGCATCAGTTCCCGAGTTAAATGGACTCATATCCCATCATCCGGCGAGTACGAACGAGCAACCTGCTCCATTACAGTGATGAGATATCGAAGAAATGGTTGTTCACCCTGGTGGACTCGGCTGATAGCGGCTTATGTCCCACCCATACAGATTCGCCCCATGGGCTTGTGCCGATCTGCCGGAGGCCGATGACGGCGTTCTACGTTGATATCATCCCCTCGTGATGGAGGGTCGCATTCCTTTCTCCTACGCATTAGCAAGATTTTCTCTTGCGACCATTGTTTGCTCTTTCAGTTCTTCTGGGAAACAACGCTGGAAACGGTGCGGACGCTCGTGACTGTACGAAACGCCAACTACTAGAAATTGTGGTTCAAGATTCAAGGGATATCACCATGCCTGAGTTAGAGAAGACGCAGTCAGAGAGAAGCTGGTGCAGACCACGGACCACTTCTATACCTAGCGGACCTACCGGACTGCGGTTGGAGAGACTTTACTCCGGACAGCATCTGGATGACCAGTCCTACTATCACCACGATGATCATGAGTATTCCCATGATACGGATAGCCTGAACACGTTGGCCATAGCCAGACTAGAAGACAACACAAGTGAGGATGGAGTAGCTGACATAATCGGAGAAGAAGCGGGCAAAGTCCAGGATCGTGTTCCAGATAAGGTTGATCTAGAGTCTCGAAGGCCACCACTAGAGAAGAAGTCAACAACCAGATCTGTGAAGGCCGAGTATCTAGTAAGGAGAATGTGTGCACTTAGGCTGTGCTTTAAGCTGATTGTGGATGATATAGGTGACATGGGATGGTCCTGATGATTCTGCAAATCCTAAGAATTGGACCTTCAAACGGAAGTGGGCAGCCACCTTCATTGTCTCTTCCTTCACGTTCATCTCTCCAGTCTCATCATCGATGGTGGCACCAGCACTACAATCTATTGCGACGGAGTTCAACATCACTAACGACGTTGAGATAGCCCTGACGCTTTCAATATTCGTGCTCGCATTTGCCATAGGACCGCTATTCCTAGCACCGATGAGCGAGATATATGGCCGCGTTCATGTGCTTCAATTGTCGAATCTGTTCTATCTTGTTTTCAACATCGCCTGTGGTGTCTGTACTAGCAAAGGTCAATTGCTAGCCTTTCGGTTTCTGTCCGGACTGGGAGGAAGCGGCCCACTTGCAGTAGGTAATTCCTCCATGACAGAAGGTCATAGCTGATAGTTTAGATTGGAGGCGGTGTGTTGAGCGACTGTTGGAAAGCAGAAGAACGCGGCAAAGCCATCAGCGTCTATTCACTAGCACCCTTACTTGGGCCAGCCATAGGGCCAATCGCTGGTGGCTTTATCGTGGAGAACACCACTTGGCGGTGGGCATTCTACGCCACTTCGATAGCCGATGCCCTTATCCAGATCTCTGGGCTCTTTTTCTTGCAAGAAACATATGGCCCAAGTATCTTGCATATTAAGGCTGAGAAAATCCGAAAGGATACAGGCAATACCGAGTTCAAAACCGAATTTGAGCATCCCGAGCGCACTCTGTTAAATACTCTAAAACGTTCGATTGACCGACCTTTCAGGCTGCTAGGTACCCAGCCAATCATTCAATGCTTGGCATTGTACATGGCATTCGTATACGGGTTGATGTACTTAGTGCTGTCAACGTTCCCGGCTCTATGGGAGAGGCGGTACAACGAGTCTGTCGGCATTGCAGGACTGAACTATATATCCCTAGGCCTGGGTTTCTTTCTCGGGGCACAGATCTGTGCTCCTATTAACGACCGAATCTGGCGGGTCCTCAAGAATAGAAACAACGATACTGGGAAGCCTGAATTTCGAGTTCCCATGATGGTACCTGGAGCGGTCTTGGTCCCTATTGGTCTCTTTTGGTATGGCTGGTCCGCGCAAGCTCGAGTCCACTGGATCGTGCCAAACATTGGTGCCTGCATATTTGCCGCCGGCACAATCATTTCATTTCAATGTATTCAGACATATATCGTGGACGCATATACACGATATGCTGCCAGTGGCATTGCAGCAGCGACCGTGTTGAGGAGTTTGGCTGGGTTTGGCTTTCCACTTTTTGCCCCTTACATGTACAATGCATTAGACTATGGATGGGGTAATACTTTGTTGGCATTCATCGCGATCATTTTAGGTATTCCGGCGCCATTCATGTTGTGGAAGTATGGTGCGAAGCTCAGAGCTAGGAGCAAGTTTGCTGCTGGTGGGTGAATGGTCCACGAAGCAACGAAATAGATTCCGACGTTTGGATGTTTGGACAGGATAATGTCTCTCATGTCCTGGCAGAGTGCAGCCATAGATTTCACATGTCACTAGGAACACAAGGCAGATGAGCTTTAGTCAGAGGACAGCCTGACTGGGTAGAATTCATTTCGAGGGATCGCCCAGCCGGTGCTCTACTTCGTGCCTCAGCTTGTGTCCATCTTACTTTCTTTGTAAACTGTGTTAGCTTCGATATGGGGGACATAGCACTAACTTAGTTTTGTATGACATGTGACTTCTGCGGCAGCCCACTGACACCACAATGGCACACCCCCACCCTTTGTACCAACCACGAGCCTAATATGATCGCAAGTCCAGCCACCTACACACGGTCAAATGTCTGCACTACAACCAGAGAGAAGTACTCATGCTGAAGGGTTGTCAGAGGCAAGCTTTCCGTGACCGCTAGATCTGGTGGCGGTGAATGGTTACCATATTCTCGCCATCCAGCGGCGCCAACAGGATAACAAGATCCGTTTTTCTGACATGGCGAACAATGTCCCAACCGAGAGATCAGGCGGACTACGGTCTTATTTGATTGTGAATCTGCTTCCTCTCTGAACGCATTTCTGACTTTACGGACAAGAACAGCATTGCTGTTTCGAGGGAAGACGACTACCACGATTGCTATTCGATATATATGAACAGTGGTGCAGACAGCTCAGCACTTTCACTTCAATAATACCAAAGGCCATCGGACAGGTGCCTTGCATGCAAATTCCACACAGAGAATTTCTGGACGGATTGTGCATTTAAATGCAAGGCCAGATTGATATATGCAGGTTTCTGCGACAGGTCGACTCTAGAGAATCTGCATAAGCCTCACCCCGATGTTATGAGTAGCAGGACAACCAGGTGCCTCCAACCTTTATCGTTATACATTGTTCTTGGAAACAGCTATCTGAACACCGGTTACTGGCCCTGGTCTGCCTTGAGACAAGAGATGGTTTGAGGACAGTAAGACTTTATGGCACGCTGCTGTTTTACCGACCAGCAAAGATCTCCTTGATTGGCCAGCGTTACACTTCCAGTGCTCTTCGAAAGAGCTGGTACGAAGGTGCAATGCCAGCCCGAGTGTGGTGTCATGGCATATGTAGTACCTCAAGTCATGCTGAGAATAACTTGGACTAGCCAGCTCCGAACCTGGCGCCAGGGCATTCATAGCTGCTTCAAGCTTCGCTATGGTCGACTATAGAAGGCCCTATGGCGAAGATGCATGCAATTCCGAACGTAGCATCAACTCTTGATAGCTGCCTCAACATGCGCCAACACCAACTTTCAATATTCTATGCTTGAAATACAACGATGTATCTTGCAGGGACTGAGCAGATCAGAGACGCGCAGTAGTCCGTCCTGGTAGCAAGAGAATGTCATGCATGGTCCGTCTTCTAGCACTGTCAGCTTCTGATAGCGATGTGGGTATAACTACTACAAATTTAGCAAAGTCTCCTTTCAGGTTCTCGTACTTTACCTTTTGCAGCCGGCGTTCATAAATCGCGCTTTCTGACATCACTCGACACTCGCTGCTTGGAAGTTGCACCTGTTGGATGGCAGAATATGCTCTTAGCGTTCCCAGCGCTCTGGTAGGTCCGCACTCCGTCTTCTGCGGCCTCGTTTAAGAAGAACATAAATTCACACATCCCGCTCAGTATTCCCACTCACTGTTTTCATTTCTTATCTTATGATTTGTCAAGGGTATGCTCTTCCCTCTTGACTGGACTCTAAACCCACTACTTGTGCCATAGCTTGTGCCAACTACGTCTAACATGCAAAAGCGACAGTCTTCTAACTCTAGTAATTCCCTACCCGAGTACCATGTGCTCGGTGAGGATGCACCCCCGAGCTACCCACTTGATGACCTTTCTGGATCTCCTGCACGCCCGAAGGAAGCACATACACATTTACCACACGACGAGACGAGGGCAGGAGCCTCAACACCTCCGCTTGCGGAGGACTATGTTCATGTGCAAAATGGAATGAACTTTGATGTTGAGGCCCATATGGCTGCAACCAATGTATATTCTTCATCTCCTGGCACGACTTAAGGCTCACATAATGCAGACCGATCGAGCTACTCCACGTATGGACACTAGTTCAAGTGCAAATAATGCACGCAGACGCCCACGACACACCGGACTCGACGCCTTTGCCAATTCCTTCTTCCTCTGCGCCATCATCTTTTGGCCTATCAACATCTTGCTCGAATGCACAGGCGATCTATGTCACAGCACCATGAGTAAAGTCGTTTTCTACGGTCTCCCCACGCTAGCGCTCTTCTTCCTCTGGATGGCCATGTTTCAGGTAAAGGGATGCTATGCAATCAAGCGGGAGGGTAAGACGGCGATGCAGTACAAGCGGATTGTGAGCCACAGGCTGTGCCTTATGCTCCTACTCATCATCGTGTCTGTCCTTGCTCTATGGCAGACCGCATTTCGGCTATGCCGTGATGGATGCGCTAGTGGGCCCGGTGATGGGAAAGCCTGCGTCAAGGAGGCTCCGTGGAATGCTTCGCTGGATGTATCGTCATCTCTCGCGCCAAACGCTTCGTCCAATGCCTCATCCAATGCTTCGTCGGATCCATCACCCAATATAGTGGGGGATGTTTGGGCAGATATCTCATCGTGGTTCTAGTGAGTTTAGGGGAGCAGTAGCACAGGTATTTCATCACAGCAGCCCTGAGCTAGACTTCCGCTAATCAATACTCTACAGAGCGGAGCAGCAAAGATAGCCCTTGTAGGCACAAGCTCTCAGGAAGGATGTTCAATCAGGTTGGAAAACTTGTTGAGATTGTCTGCATACATCATAGCCGTCATTTATTCATCTATCATACTCTTCTTTTCCGCTGTCCTCATGTCGTCGTTGTGGTTCAGGGGCTCGGGGGGCTAGAATCTTGGCGCAGCCTTGGACATGCATGATAGACCATATCAGGTGCCATCCGTCTTTCATCAGCGCACAATATGATGACATGCATCCAGCATGAAAGCCCCGTCACATTGTCTCTCTGGTTCTTCCTTGTTCCTCACAATCTCACTCTTTCTTCATCTCTTTCCACTGCTTGTCCCACTTCTCAAGGTATCCTTTCATGTTCTCTTCTTTCTTGTGATCGGATGAGAGCCCAGCTTGAGTGGAGTCACCGAAGGGGGCATGGTTGTCATGGAGGAAAGGGAGGAGTGTATATGCGGGACGCTTGGGTGGGTTGGTGGAAGGGGGCGTCTGGGTCTTGGCATTGGTGTTAGAGGAGGGGGCGTTGGTGGGTTTGGATGGACTATGAAGAGAGATTGTGTTAGCATGGATGATGAGAGGGAAGGAAGGGAGCTGGAGGAGTATGGAGGTGTAAGGGCAAGGAGACTGACGGCATGGTGGTGGTCGAGTATAGTTATGTATAGAAGTGGGGGTAGGCGTGAGTAGACGGGGTAATGCTATGTGAGAGGAAGTATGTAAGAGAAACTGCATGCTAAAATTGAATACCCACAATAGAGTTGCTAGAAGTAGAGGTGGAAGTCTACAGGAAAAGAACAGGAAATGGTTGTATATATATATATCCTAGAAGCAGGCAACGCGCCGGCGTCCAGATTCCCAGATTCATTCATTTCATGGATTTTGACGAGTTCTGCACATGACGAAACTCTTGCAAGTCCTTGGCGCCGCAACGACGATTTCTTGACACCATAGGTGTTTACTTGACATATCTTTAGTTATACTTGGATATATCAATATCGCTTTGTCCTACTCGATTTTGGTATGGTCTGATATGAACGATTAGAACAATAGCGCCTTCAATAACTGTTCTTGATGCAACACCAAGAATTTGCAAGAGTTTCGCAATGATCGCTCGAAGAACTTAGATCCGCCCTAGCTGACCAGGATTATGCATTATTCAGAGGACATGCAATCAATCCATGTATCAGCGAAACTCCCGCTCCCTTAGCTCTGATAAAGTTGCTGGCATAGAACGATGGGGTAAAGTAGCCGTACAGCCGTGCCGCAAAATTTGCTCGCTGCTACACCCTAGTGATATGTCAGGTGGGTGTGCCGGTGCTAAAGTTATCTTTATCCCTGTTAGCGTCCTGCATCGTCAACCAGTCCGAGGCCTTCCCACACTGCGGGTTGTTGCCTCACTCCCCTCCACTTCAGTTTGTTGTCGGCCCCGTGTATTTACCAAAACAATCCTTCTGCAGTCTTGGCAGAAGGAACATTAAACATTTTTCAATACACATTTCATATCAGATTGTCTACAGTAAGTTTTGACTTTTTTTTGAAATTTTAAGACGGTAAAACTATCTAGAGCTTCAGGGCTATTGAGTCATGTCATTTTCATGATCAAAGGTCATATAATTAGGGTTATGAAGGCACAGAAAGATCGGAAGACCCCATTTTTGGTGTTTCTTTTGCCAAGGCTGAAGCTGAAATTCTTGCACTAAATCACAGAAGCACTATGCTCAAGAAGGAATGGAGGTATTCAGTGACACAGGGGATGGACCCCTTTGTAAGCCGCATGGCTGCCAACGCACTTTTTCCACCAGTGAAGATGGCGCACGCCTGTTTGACGGATAAATTACTTGTGTCGGCACTGCCACTACGTAGTATTGCCCGTCGCCAAGGCGACACCCAAGCAAGATGATGACCTTGTTAGATTAGTTGCCCAAAACGGAGGTAGGGCTGGTCGTCAGAGTATTCTGTTAGTTAGAACTCAGTACGGTAACACATAGCATCCAATTATGCTCATATCTCCGTTGAAGCTTCAATTGGAAGATTTGATCACGAGTATGCAACAAAGAAGCATAACGTTCCAAGTTGACTGACTCACCATATGCCCCCCGTAGCCTCCTCAACGGGTCTCACAATCACGAACCCACTGGTCAAGTACCGAGCCCTGCTTGCAACAAACAGAATCCGGCCAGACCCCGCACAGCATCGTCTCGCCCTCCAACTACAGAAGCTTTACTACCGCCTTAAGGACTACCACCCGCAGTTAGAATATCGCCATCGGCTCGATCAAATCAGCCGCACTGTCGACGCTGCTTCCGAGACACAATCACAACATGATGCCGAGCAGGGGCATGTGCCTTACCAAAGGATCCCTTTCTCATCCTTATGGAGGGACGGATCCGGTGATCCAATACTGGCACTAACTCGCACCGTTCCGATCCAACATTCTGCTCTATCCATCAATTCTCCCAAAGGCATGCTCCTCTATGGCGAAGTTGGTCGTGGGAAATCAATGCTACTTGACCTCTTCGCGGATTCTCTTCCTAGCCGCAAGAAGAAGCGTTGGCACTTTAACACCTTCATGCTTGAAACCTTCCGTCGCCTGGAGCAGTTGCGGATGCAGCGTTCCAGCCTCCCCATTCAATTACGAGGCCTGGAGCAGGAGCATAGCGTGCTGGCATTGGCCAAGGACACTATCATTACAAGTCCGATCTTGTTCCTTGACGAGTTTCAGTTGCCGGATCGGGTAACGAGTAAGATTTTGAACTCCTTCCTAACAAGTTTCTTTCATCTAGGAGGCGTGCTGATTGCGACGAGTAATCGCATGCCGGATGAGTTAGCCAAGGCAGCAGGAGTGGAGTATGCTCCACAACCGAGTGGACTTGGATCTGTGTTTGGATGGTCTAGAAAACGCACCGAGGCCGAGCGAGCAGCATCTACGGATTTTGGTGCTTTCTTGGATGTGCTGAAGGCTAGATGTGAGATCTGGGAAATGGAGGGAGATCGGGATTGGAGGAGGGATGATATGGTGCCCGACCTGAGCGAAAAAAAGCTGTATGATGCTGTTGGCATGGAGAATGTTGCTCAAACTGGCCCAACAGCCACTACCGTGGCGATTACACAAGTGGACAGATCGGACAAAGATAATAGATCAAACAAGCAGCCTCGGCACTACCGTCTCATCCCTTCTACGTTCCCGAATGACCAAGAAACCGCAGTCTCAGAAGCCGAATGGAGCAACAAAATTGCATCTTTGCTCGCGGAATCACACCCCACTGCAACGTCACCGACCTGGTCTCCATCGTACCTCTCAGTCTACGGCCGAAAAGTCCCCGTTCCGGCTTCGTCACCCACCGGTTACACCCTCTGGAACTTCGCCGACCTCTGTGGCACATATCTTGGACCAGCAGATTACATCTCCCTCGCCTCCACCTACCACACCCTCATTCTCGACAGTGTCCCAATCCTAACTCTCATGCACAAGAACGAAGCCCGCCGCTTCATCACCCTGTTAGATGCACTCTACGAATCCAAATGTCGCCTCCTAATGCGCGCCGAAGCTCCACCTGATGCGCTTTTCTTCCCTGAGACACAAAACCCAGCCCGCATTGTAGAAGATGCAACAGGCGACGGAGTTTACCAAGAAACTCTGGCAGAAATTTACCAAGATCAGACATCTCCGTTTCGACCTAACATATCTTCTTATAGAGAGGACAGCTCCACTGGTCTGACGCAATCTCTCCTGAACCCGAAGTTGAGATCCGTGCTCGCAGACGAAGATGCCGATTTCGGCCCTGTCTACGGTAACGGGAGAGGTCATGGCGCTTCGACCGGATTGGAGGAGATGGAGAAAAGGCAACGAAGGGATGAAGGAAGAGCAGGGCCGGACTTCACACAGACGGCTACATTGACCGGAGAAGATGAGAGATTCGCGTACAAGCGGGCTCGGAGTCGGATCTGGGAGATGTGCGGGGAGAGGTGGTGGAGCGAGAGGCCCGCAGATCAAGTCGGAGAATGGTGGAGGCCCGTTGCTCTGGAGAGCAGGTTCTGGGAGAGTCAGTTACCCGCAACAACGGCGAAAGAGAGGGTCTCGGAAGAGACCGTGATGGTGGACGGTTCGCATGATGGGAGGCAGAGGAGAGCTGATCAGCACATAGGAGGAGGCCCGGACGAGGACGGCTTGTTCAGGCATGGTGCCAGTCCGTACCGGACGAGGACAGATCCGCCGCCGAAATTCGGATGGCAGCATGCTTGGGGTATGGTGACTTGGGGTAGGAAGGCTGGAGAGTGGGGTAAGGGTGTTGAAGGGAGGAGAGAGAAGGCTGGGAAGGGTGAGAAGTGAATCGCATGGGAGGGAGTCGGGATCCTGCATTTCTTGGTGTCTTTCTGCATTTTTGCGCTGGGGCTGCGTATACATGCTACAGAAACAGCAACTTGTAAATGGGTAGGGGGTGGATATACTGTCTTAGCTCTGCGCCATGCAGCTCAAGGTGTCCCTTCTTTATCGTCTGTACATGGTAAAATGCATACATATCCTAGAGCTAGATACGCTAAAGCATCAAGATCTTTTCTTCACCAGGCTTTGGTACTCTCCTCCGATTCCACCAAGCGCAGGCTTCTTGAATCTCCTCCAACAACTTAACAATAAGCTCAATCTGCACTTCGACACTCCTCCGGCTCATACCGCCCTTCATAGTCCTAGTCTCAACACCCCTCTCATAATCAAAGCAACCCATCACACCATCACCGAATCTCCATCCACAGTCAGTAATTACTCCTTGCCCAATTGATCCACCGGCTTCCCTTCCTCTCGGCCAAAGCCACCACTCGTCCGCTGATATGATGCGTGTCATTGAAGGGAACGCCCTTTCTCATTGAATGACCTGCCAGGCCGGTGGCCAACATATCCGGGCTGAGCGCCGCCTGCATCCTTTTTAGAAAGATCGTTATCGTGGACAGTACACCGGTAGCAATCTAAACGCCGTCCGCCACGGTCTTGTACCATCCAGAATCGACTCGAACCACTCTTGTAGATCCTTGTACCATGTGCTCGGCAGGCCCTTGACACTCATCCTCAATCTGGCCATCTGGCCGAATACACGACTCCACTTCCCACGAAGTAGTTCTAAGGAGTTAGGTTTCTTCTTTGTGGCATCAGATTGCTTCCTGTGGAGTATGCATCTGCGAGGCGGACAAAGCCGAATTTGGCGGTCGAGTACAAGATCAGATCTTCTGCCCCGCGTAAGATGCGCTGCATCAAGGTTGCGGACCATTGCAGAGCCTCGACGACGAAATCTCGATCTACAATGGCTGCCATGGAATTGTTGATTGTTCCGTCGAAGCCAAGGTTCTTTGCGATGGCGTCTCGATCGATGCCGAATAAGTTGCCGACTAGAGTTCCTGAACCAAGAGGAGAGCGATCAATCCGTTTGATGAATTCTCTAAGCCTTTCCAGGTCCGTGACGAATGCAGAGCCGTAATTGAATATCCAGTGCGACCACCGGATTGACTGGGCTCGTCGCAGATGAGTGTACCCTGGCATCAGAACGTCGATCTCGTACTTCACCCGAGCAGTCATAACACGTAAGAAGGCCACCGGCTGCTCCTCAATCTCGCACCATCGATCTCGAAGCCATAACCTCATGCCAGAAGCGACCTGATCATTCTGACTTCACCCTGTATGCAGCTTCCCGCAATTCCTTCCCAAAATCTTCCCCAACCGTCTCTCATTAGCTGTATGGATATTTCATCCACAAGGGGCTTGATCTCAAACTTCCAACTCTTCCACTCCTCAAGAATCTATGCAAAGCCATCCTCGATAGTCGCACACTTCTCGGCCATCAACATGCCAATCTTCGATTTGGCACGCGCATACGCAATTGACCCACGGATGTGTTGTGCGTAGATGGCTCGATCGAAGTATATGGACCCGTTGCAGGCGACCATAGAGGGTCGAAGCCGCCGGTAAAACGGCCGCCCCAGAGCAGGTTGGCAGAGGGTTTGAAAGACGCCAGGTTGTTTTTTTGGAAGCTCATTACTATCGAGAAAGTATACCTCAAGACTGGTTCAACAAGCATCGAGCGTGTGAATGCAACAAAGAGCAAAAGCTCAGTAAACAGTAGTCTTCGATCTCAATTCAAGCAAGTTTGCAAAACAATAAAGGTTCAGCAGACTCATACACACGCCGGCACCAATCTACTCTCTATTATGAGACTCATAACAAAGACTTCTCCCCTTCTAAACAAAATCTGCAATAGTATCCAGCTCTATGGAAAAAGTTTGCTACTTGTGTGCTTGACGTTGCTATCGATAAGCAGCCTTGGCAGTAACTACCTGTTCGGGAAAGCCGAGAAGCGACGACTGCCTCGTAGGTTCTTCTCACCCATTACGATAAAGAAGGTGCCACGGTATTCGTTGTGTGCGTGACCTCGCCTAAGATATTGCTTGCTTTCCTGAATTGAAGGGCCACCAATTTCCTGAGAATGACAGCCTTGTTCCCCAATACGTGGCACCTTCGAACGGTGGCCGAGAACTCCTCAAAAGCATGCTATGTCTGCTACAAGCCCACCACCCGCGTACTCATCACTCCTAACAATAAGGTGGGTGATCAAAGCGTAGTCTCAAAATTGCTCGGCCACAGCAATTGATCAGTCCGACATTAGGATTTCTTCTACATCTGCCCCGGCCACCTGACGGACCCGGGATTTGCGTCGCCAGTGATTGATGCCGAAGCCGAGGCGGCAAAGGCTAAGAAAGCGGCGATGGATCTGGAGATTGAGAAGGTGAAGCAGGAGTATGAAGAGAAGCAGAAGAGGAAGAAGGAGAAGAAAAAGAAGGGTAAGAAGGATGATGGCAAGGGTAAGGAGAAGGAGAAGGAACAGGAAGATGAGGAGGAGGATGGAAAGGCGGAGAAGGAACGCGATGATAAGGTATGCCGAAAGTGATCATCTTCACACGCTTGTCGTATTGAGTAGCGGCAAATGCTTGGGCTGAAAGCTGAGATTTTGACAGATCACATCAATTAAAGGAGGCGGAGGAGAGTCGAAGTCAGATGATATACCACGTATTTATGCGCTACACAGGTACACGCGCCTGCACGATGATACATGGTGGTATACTTTGGCTTTGCTAATGGCAGCAATAGAAATTTCTACCAGATGCGAATCGATCGAATACGCAACGCCGAAATGGCCAAGAGGGCCCAGCAACGAGTCAAAGATCCGACATTCTTCCCGTCCGCTCCCAAGAACGATCCTCAGTAGAAATGCTCTGGGCACTAGGAAGCTCATAGCGGATTCCCTTCCCTGCGCACAACAACTACTTTGGTCGTTGGTAATAGCTGTAAACAAAAGCCTGGGATCCCTCGGGTCTCGCCAGTTCACGGAGTGCTGCCCACCTGTTCTCTCAAATCGGGCGTGTCCCGGTTCGAGCAACATGCCCGAATGCAGCAAGCGCGCCGCTCACCTTTGAAATGCTCTACCCGTGTGCCAAGCCTTTTCGCTCACTCCAAAGGCAGCCTCTTCTAGTAAATTTTCCTCATTCTCGGTCTCAGACCCATAGAGCTACTGAGTGACTGCGATGCCTGATCCCAACGTGTGTACGCCAGGAATTTTCAAGGAAACGGGGGAGGATGGAGTTAACTATACCGTGAAGACGACTTTCGCTCCAGGAACGCGACAGGAGCCAGCATCAAAACTGTCAAAGCTCGCCTAGCGAATTCTTGGAACGCTTCGAGATGAGTTGCATGCCGCCACTTCAAGCAGCGCAAGGATAGATACTTGGCTCACTTTCAACTCTCCGCCCATCTTCCCGGGACGAGTTTCCACCATTCCTCCTCATCAAGGACGACATACTGCCGCGCAAACCATCGATGTGCGTGGCTGCTATATGTCAAAGAGAAACTCACAACGCATACCTACGAGAAGGAGAAAGCGTGAACGGCCCTCCAACCTTCCCAAGTTACAACCCCGAGACACATCTATCACCATACTAACACATAGCAGCAAATCCGGTTGTTAGGAAACTCTACACAGGGGCACTATATCCTCCCGTTGGTATCCCATCCCGATCCCACAGCTCCAGCCTATATCTCTCGTATCATACCACACGCACATCAGCCTCAAGTTCTGGCAGGACCTCGTGATGGGCCCCTAGCGGCATCACAACATACGCGAGATAAATGAATTCTACGCACTCACCAATTGAGGGTTGGTTCTCGGCAGTAGTTAAGTGCACTCGGTAGCTGCCACATAGGGGCGAGGGAAAGTCAAAGGCAAAAGCCTGGATGTGTTGGATATCGCCATTCTTGCCATATTAGTATGCATTTAAATTTTCGTCGTGTCTGCTTCATTTGCGCTGGGTGAGCGAGTGAGTGAGCAATGTATCAGTGAAGGCAGCCCGGCTGGGCGCTTATGATGGTGATGTCCTAGGCGCTTCGCGAGCAAGAGAAGTTGGAAATGGCGAAGCGTCACGGTGGAGAGATCGTGTGGCAGAGGGCTCTATTCTCGCTGTGCGTCACTACAGTCTATTTACAATTGGGAGTTTTGCGTCCTTCCTGTTCTTGATTGAGGTGGGGTAGATGTGATTTGTCGCCTGTTGGTTGTTTGTGTAGGCAATAATCACTCTTGATGGGCAATGATTAGTCAGGTTGAGTGCTCACAGTTTGATAGCTTCGAACGCCAGGCTGAAAGGCGAGGGTGCGCAATAATATTTCGAGACTGATCGTCTCCCGTCTACAACGAACACACAGCGTGTCCCGGCCGACGTCTATACGTGCACGATTTCCACTTCATAAATGGCCCACTTCCCTCCTCATACCGGGTGGCAACCTCACACCCGCCACTGCTGAAGCCCCATACGCCGTTTTCGTCAACATAGCCACCTCATCCACCCTCCCCCTGGCCAGCCCGAACCCCGGCGTTACCCACCCACCACAACTGCACTGCATGCCCTGCCAGGCAAACTTGCCGACATTAGCTCCACATTTCTGATTCGGACAGATCAACCGCCCATCCAGCTCCCCCTTTTCTAAATTCCCCTTCATCCATGACAGAGGGTGCAGGAAGAGATGCGCACATTCCTTTTCCGTATCTACACCCATGACGGTCTGCTTCTGCTTCTGCTTCTGCCTCTCATGCCGCTGGTTCTGATTCGATGATGATAAAGACGTCGGCTGATGGTCAACTAAGAAACTCGATTTCGCAAGCAGGCGTCTGCATTTCCGACATTTGATGTCAAGATGTCTCTTCTCGGCACTGGTTCCGGCGTCTTCATTTTCTTCCTCGTGCTCGTCTTCGAAGCGGATGTTATCAACTTCCGGAGCGCGATTGATTGCTAGGCTTTCCTGGATATTTTTCTGGTACAGCCAGCGTTGGTATTTTGGTTGTGAGTCGATGGTATCGGGACAACCCATGGAATGGTAGAGGTGAAGCTGTTCCATGAAGCCGTCGTTCGGCTCGGCAATGGGGCGGGATTCGCGGAGGAGGGCGAGGGCTGTTTCGGGGGTGAGGGTGTCGGATTTGTCGGGAGTGGTGTCACGTGATTTTTTGGGGGCGGGATTGTGTTGAGGGGTGAGGGCGGAAGATGCGGAGGGATTCTGGCGGTGGGAGTGCCAGAGCAAGTATGCAATGACGACTGTGGCGGAACGGGATTTGCCCATTGCGCTATAGAGGTGATATTGGTCAGCTTCATTGTAACCTTGCTCTTCTGGCTGTCAGCCGAAAGGAATGCTTTGACAGGTGGCAAGTGTGAAACGACGTGCAGGGTCTATCTTGGCATGGAGCGGGAAGGACTAATGGGGATCGTTAAAGGCCGAGCGAGGTTGTTAGAGGTTGTTAGATGTCGTACGATGCAGCTGTCGATGCTTGTAAGACACAACTTCAGCCCTCCGCTGCGGAACATGGGTACTTAGTCCAATCCCCAACATCAAGTGACGTGGCGAGCCACAGAACGGTGGCCTCATTGGGCTGAGCCAGTTGCCAAGAGCACGTGAGCTGCTGAAAGGACTTCAGAGTGGCTGGAGAAGGTGACAGACGCGGGGAGGTGCAGTGGTAGCAAAGCGCATGTCCAATAGGGACTGGGCAGAACCAGCATACAATGTTGGTCCAACAATTGCTACATTGAAACACAAATGCCTCTTTTCCCTTTTGGATGGCGCTATGTGCTGGTTGGCACAAAATCGCCGTGCATGAGACCTAATTCGATGCATGTCTCTAGAGTCCGGAGATAAGAGGAATGGTAGGGTAGAACAGATATTGAAAGCAAAGACATGCGTGTCACCCATTCTGGAAATGAATAGCTTCCACATGGAAGACCATTTTGACTTTGTCTCAGGCAGGACGAGAACCAGCTTACCAGTGAACAAGCACACCGCTGTTCCTGCCAGCGTCTCCATCTTCGCTTGCATTTGCTCCTGGATCTTGAAAATCATGTTGCCAGTCGTTCAGCCCTCGTTCGATGAAGGCATTGCTCTTAGGAAACCACTCGATGAGGTTTTCATCGTCATTGTCCTCAATAGGGATGTGAAAATGTTGGTAGCCTCTGATAAGAGGAGAATCGCCAGCAAATTTCCAATCTATGACGGATATAATATGCGTGATCTTGCACTTGGTTAGTGCCTTTGGGCGTCGGAGTGAAAGGAAGCTGTTTCAAGTGATCAGTTGGACGGTTCAGAGTAAGGCCAGAGAGAGCGCAATCTGTGTTTTCACAAACATGGGTCTTTAACCATCAGGATGTAGCTTGAGCTTGCATCCTAGACATTGAGGATGAGGCATGATTGTGACCGCCAGAGGAGAAGAAGCCAAGTCTGATTCCTGCCAACTTTGATCTGGGACACGCACCATTTATGTCAAGAGTCAAGGATTGAACAGGTATGTGGGGGGGAAGTTCATGGTGTCGCTGAATGCTAGACTAACTCACCCACCAATATAAAGATTGAAGCCCGGCACCTTATCTAGCAGAGATACTTCCATCAGAGCGTGCCTCAGGTCGAGAAAAATAAGATAAATAAGACCAATAAGACCAATAGCAGAGTCGAGTTGTTTCTGTTACCAACCGGTCATGGCGGCATTGAATTTCCACTTGGTAAAGTGTGATGGATGAGTCATCAGTTCCTTAAAGCACTAGAAGTAAGCTAGACCTGCCCAGCAGGTCACGAGTCAAGAGTCATGCAGTCAAGTGTCACTTGAGCATGCCTCGCGCCCTTTATAGAAATCCACGCAGTAGCAGAGGAATATAGGCCCTGCCAAAGCGTCAAATAAGAGACTCGTAAGACTAAGCTTCTGCACTCTGATCAAGCTTCCGATTGCTGACCACAGCAGGTCAGCATAACTCATTCTGGGTTCACACCCCCCTAGCCATGACCAAGGAGCCACCCTGTGTGCACGCTTCCCATCCATCGCCCATGTTGCACAAGGTCTTGAGTACTCAATGTAGTACAGAAGAAAGAATTCGAAACACAGTAGCCGCCACGCCTTGAAGACTTAAGCATAGGAGGCAGCGACAGATACGACTCCCCAACTCCCAAGGGAAAGCTATTGGGTCACATTACGCGATGAACTAGCCTTCGCCATCTGGACTTAGGAGGAGACCATCCCCCAGAGCTTTCGTACATCACTGATTACTGGGCGCTGTAATAGAATGGCTGGCTGGCGATGAGTCGAGGCCCCCTCACCTGTTTGGCATACAAATCACGTGAAGACCAGGGCATGCTGACCGGTGTAGAAAATTTCTTTCAGAACAGGGGAGCTTGTTACACAACAAGAATTTCGAACCAAGCCACCGTGTCCTTCCTTGCTCGGTCGTTCGTAGCTCTGCATCTTTACCAAGGTTCTGTACGATCAAGGTGTAAGTAGCGTTGCTCCCCGCCTGGTTTACGGCAAGATTCCCCGAATAGAGGCCTGCATTCAGTCATCTCTGGGGGTAGCAGCCAGTTATTGAAGTGCAAATGCAGCTGACGAGCGGCCTTCGGAGTCATCTAAATGGATTAACTCTCAAATGTCTATGACTACACCTTCGAAAGTCATTTTCTAGAACATCAACGAGCTCTGTTGCCAGCAAAACTGCCGGCGCATTTTAGAGAGCTGTGGATGGGAAAGGCACGTTCTCGGTTGGTTTCATCGATTCGTGTTAAGGGCGTTCGTTGGAATGGGGTAGAACGTGTCAGAATGAGCATCTCAAGCAGTGACCAGCGTGGACCTCGTCTATTCATGTGTAAGGTTCTTTCAGAGCTAGAATAGCCAGCATGCCCCAGATATGACGACGCACCGGTGGTCCGGTATCGGAATTGCTGTCAAAATATGCGCTGGACCAAGCTGTTGCTGGTCTGTGATATTGACGTTCACCGTCATTGAGCTTTCCTGGTGGTAGATGACCAAGGCAACTTGTTCTGCGTGCATGGAAGAGTAGGCGTTTAGTTTGGCGCATGCAAAAGTAGTGTTTCATTGAATAATGACTTAGACCTGAAGAAGGATATTACCTAAACAGTCTCTTCAGCAATGCGTCGCTGAATTGCCAGGATTAGCTGTAAGGAATTAGTACAGAAATCCCGCGGAATATGCTCGAGCAGGAGCGGAGACGAGCGCTACACGTTGTGAATGGGCGCAAGGAGCGGACTCGCACTCGCACCCGCCCTCGTACCATCTGCGGCCATATTCTTGTGCCTATGTATCATATTCAGGACGAAACCCGCGCTCCGAGCTGCTTCCATTACGAGCAGATCCAGCTGCGTTATAAACGCAGTGCCGCATAGCCTTGTTCAGCATAGTCTTCAGATATGGCTCTAATGGGGCGGGTTGTTTATGTTGGTAAGTTAGCAAAATATCATCGAGATACTCAGGGGCCAAGGATGCTGTGTGTTCCGTCTCACATGGTTAATTTAGAGTCACAGCCGTTGGAATCTTAATGCTTGACTTTGAGAATGGATCGCTCATGCATCAAGGCAGGGCGTTGACTATTGCTTTGTTGCCTTGCTTACACCGCTTGCACCTTGCAGATCGGTTGAGTGCTTGGGGACGTATCAGTGGCCAAGCTTGCTTTCCTTGGAGATGGTAATCCGTCCAGGCAATTGAAGTGTTACCATTCCAAATCAAAAGGGTTCATCCCTGAGAATAGATGCACGATGGTTCTAATGTGCTAATGTTCTAATGTTCTGAAGAGACCACTCGGCATGAATGCCAGGTCAGAAGAAGCGGTTTCGGGACGAAGCTTCCTTAGCGAACAGATCATCGCATCTGAAGTGTCTTAAAGGGGTCACCCTACCACCCACGTCCTGTAGGCCCACAGTCCTGTCAGATTCGGCAAGGCTCTCTCCCACAGTAGGCGTTCCTTGGTCGGAAGCCATATTCCACTTGTGCTGAAGCCCAGGATGACCATGCATTGATGTAAGATACACGTATGTTGTGCGCTGGACGGTAGCAAGACAGGGTAGTGGATAAAGAGAAGATTGCCGTGACCGTATTCTTCTTTGACTAGCAACTAAGTTAGTAGGCAGCTACTGCCCCCTAACACTACTCGAGTACAGTGGTTAGTGCCTGCTAACTTCAGATAGTAGTGTGCAAAGGCTGGTGGTGGCTGGGCTTGGCTTGAAGCAGAGTTTGAAGCACCTAGTCAGCCCTACACGTTAGGCTTGAAGCTGGTGCAGCCCAGCCAAAATCCGAGACACTTTTCCGGGCAAGATCCACTCTCTGATGGCCACCCTGATGCTGTCAACCCTCACCGTCCAGTTGAATATCGCGTTTCTCACCCCTCCAAAACTTGCCCCATCGGCTTTCCCACGCCTCCATCCCGGACCTCAATGACTCTCCCCTCGCCCTGTATGCGCTTCGAGTCTATCTTATCTCCTTCACCTTCACACCCGTTAGCACCTCTCAACCCCAATATCCTCATGGATGGGCGCTCTCCAGGTCCTTACGTACATGCAAGTTCGAGATTTGATATACAATCCTGAACCCAGCTGAAAAGCAGGGTTTCACTTGCGAGCACAAGCTTCACGGACCAATACTGCCTCTCGCCACCACCAGATTGACATTATTCGTGTCCCCGAATAATCTATCCAGCCTTTAGTCTCTGACCAGGCGATCCGCATCTATTCGTGGCGAAGCGACACATGGTGGGTGCATCTTCAGCATGGACATTCCTCGCTTGTCGTCTCCTCCCTCGATTCGAGTATACGACCCCAATCCAGGCTTCGAACGGCGATATTCTCGAGCATCCGCGCAAACCTCTCCATCTTCATTCTCCTCAAGAGGCTCAATGCCAATACCAAATGCCCGGTCAGACCCTGCACCACCCCCGTTGCCTCCTCCTCCATTTATCGAAGATCTGGCACGCGGGCACGACACTGGTTGGAAATTTGCGAATGAAGACCGGCAAGGCGCATTTCGAAATTCTACACTCGCACCTATTAAGCAAGGGTCCAGCCTTCACGGAGGCTACATGCAACCCAGGCTGAATACGAATCCCAAGTCAGACGACCAGCCTGAGCTTTTGCAGGCTGACGAGTTCGGTCGAAAGAGTAGCACAGTGTCAACAATCCGTTGCAATTCGCAGCCAGACATACAGATGGGCTGTGTGGGTGCGGCTGAGGAGGACCGCCAGAAACCTACCTCTCCTTCATCTCTTGCCAATCAAAGGTACGTCTATTTCCTATTCGTTAGGTTTACAGAAATTTACGATCACTAAAATCTTTATATCACGTTGCTTCTGAGACATGGCAATAAGGTTCTGACCATTGACAATCTGACATGGTCACTTGCCACAAGGATTGGTTCCTTCGCCCTGGACATGATTGTGCAAATATCGATCTGAACCCTTGCTAATATCATGACTGTTTAGGTTGCAGGGTGAAATGCCCTTGGCACAGCAGAGCTTTCAGCAAACCTCTAAGGCTTATGACAAACACCTCCTATCCAAGATTGGAAAAAGGAACTCACCGCCTCGATACTCTAGCCAGGCCTCAGGAGACGTCATTACTTCGGGACTCTCGCGCCCGCCACAGGCCAAAGACGGCAGCAACTTGCAGCGCTTGTCAGTTTCCGATGTTCCGGCGGCTTCGTTCGACCCAATATCCCGGTGGGTGTCCAGTCCTGCCTCGGCCGGTGTCTCTCCTGGATCCAAACCTGGTTGGCGGGACTATATGGATTATCGTAGCCCATCAGTCGATAGCAGTGCGCCATCATCTGCGGTAGACTCAGATTATTACGCACGCCTCCGAGACTGCGGCCGAGGCTCCCTAGGCGGCCCACGCATGGGAAACGATGATGCCTCTAGCCTACCAAGCCGCTCCAACAGGGGTAGCTATGATCAACAGGCTTGCCTCACAGAACCAGAAACCGATTTCCCAATGGAGGAGACTGGTGGTTTCCGGAAACTTAACTTGGGTGACCGGACTCCGCCACACAATGCATATCGTCAACCATTCTCTAAACAACAAGGTCTGAAGCGGCGGGCACTATCACCTCCACCTGAAGTGGTACGGGACGACAAAGCACCCACAAATAGTACGAATCAACTATCAGACATGCACCAACGATCAGGGACTGGCCACTCCTACCCTCGTTCGCCCAATCTTCGCTTTCATCCCAATCACGGTTCTATGTCATCAACCTCGTCTGCAGGTCCCAGAAATGGCTCATACGCATCATCTGTAGGATTATCGGCTGCAGGTAGCAGTATGACAAGCATCTCATCTATTGATAAACCGTCCCCAGGGGGTACTTCTCCATTGTCCGATCTGGAACCCACTCAGGATTCTACTCATGTGCATCAAACTTCGCTAAATCCTCCATCTCTGATCCCCCATATTGCTGCATCTCGCTCTCATCTTTCTCAGAACCCACCAGAAAGCCGATCGGCTACTGTGGCCCGTGCAATGTCTGCTCAATCTGCCGCCACCGAGGGCAGGGCGGCCACTGCACCTCGCATCGGTGGTGCGTACATGTGCGAGTGCTGCCCGAAGAAGCCGAAGAAGTTTGAAAGTGAGGAGGAACTAAGGTACGTCAAAACACTCCGCTCCCGCACCAGCATCAATTTCCCCCCACCTCAAACTTCCCTGACCACCTGTCACAGGATGCACATGATGGAAAAGCAATACAAATGTGCATATTGCACCAACCGATTTAAGAACAAAAACGAAGCTGAACGACACCAAAATTCCCTGCATTTACGTCGTCATTCTTGGTCCTGTGCAGCCATATCCGGATATGAAGCTGCCTTCCATCCGTCAACCTCTCCTACCTCGCAGACATCCAAAGGCCCATCGGGCGATGCCTGCGGTTACTGTGGCGAAGAATTTTCCAATTTCCCACGCGACTGGGAAGCTAGATTTGATCATCTTACCAACGTGCACAAATTCGGCGAGTGCAATCAAACCAAAAAGTTCTTTCGAGCCGATCACTTTCGTCAACATCTCAAGCACAGTCATGCTGGCACGAGTGGGAAATGGACCAATATGCTCGAGAATGCATGCATGAAAGACGAACCGCCTCCGGATGCGGCAGCTGGCACGGTCATGGAGGTTGGTGAGCCCAGCCAGCCCACGGTTCAAACTCCAACTGCAACGCCGACAACACCATCGGTGACTGAAGGGTCGCAACAGGGATCGTGATAGCAAATTAAGAGCATCCTTCTCTAACTTTCCGATCGTCGAATAAGCCCATGGAGAGAGGATGCCACCAGTATGACCTATGGAAGTGCCCCTCGGCCTGAAGACTGAACGCATTTCATTGCCGAAATGGCGATCGAGTGCTGTTTATTTGCAGCTTCTACATATTACTGTCCAGCGCCATTATCGCATACCAGCTATAAAACTTCTCCCTTCTTCTAGAACACATGATATTGTTGTCACTTCAATTCTATGGACATCTGATTGTTTCTGAGATCTACCCCTTGTGCATGCGCGCTTGTCGTGGACGTTCCTTTCTGTACCAAAAGCATATGCGACGCCAATTGAAGGAGATTCTGGTTCCACTTCGAGCAAGCATCAACCTGGAGGTGTTCCTAAACCTGTCTCGAGCTTTCTTTGGCCATTCAAGCAAGCAAGTGTTGGGTGCTCTGCCACAAAAGCCTCTTTAGCGTTCTATAGGCTTGGACGTACATGTGTTCGTTTCATATGCATAAGAAGGTGCTAAAATCTACATTACGATCGACGATTCCTGCTCACTTGTTGTGTTGGGCTGCTTTGTTGGTGTTTGCTTTTATGGCTGCATTTGATCGCCACCCAAAAGCAGATAGCAATATTAACCTCACACCTCGTCAGTGTACATGGTCATCTCGCCGCCTGCCTCTCTTATTGCAATCAGCAGGTTCATACTGATTCCTTTTTCTTATACCTCTTCCGACTCTTGTTACATCGGGCTTACTAGCGGTCGGTTGAGGCGGTCCACTCATTACCTGTTCGCCACTTCGTTGGTCGGATTTTACCCTGTTTCTAGGACCGAAGGACCGCCTCTCTGGGCTTGATTGGCGTCTCTCCCAAAGCTTGTCCTCCAGTAACGGCAAAGCTGTTCCCATCCCAACCTGGGAAACAAGTGGGATGGAACTCTACTCAGGCAAACCACAAGAGTAAGTCTTTTTCGAAGAGAAATTTGAGACGCATAATATGCTATTATGATATGTGGTCCGACATCTTGGTTCCGTGTACGAAATTCTCTCTATTCTGTCGCAACAGCCAAAATTGACCATTACCTTCTAAGAAAGGGAAACAGCTCCCGGAGTTCTCGACTAGTCTATGGCGCGGCAATTTGGAAGTAGGTCTCGTGTTTCGACTGGTAAGGCTTTTGTGATCCACTCAGTGAATTACGTGTGCTCATTCTCGATAGTAATCAATCACGAAGCACCACCGATCACACGAGTCTCGTATGCACCTTACTACGTACTGACTAACTCGCTCCATCGTGGATTCAATCTTGGAGTTTCGAGTGGTGTTGCCGCTGGCGAGGGATCAAGGTAAACAGTATGCAACCTTGTGCCGATACTGCATTGACTCGTCCCTGTGCCGCGTAACCAACATCACAATCGAGCAACGGTCTGGATTGCAATGTTAGCTCTTCCGACGTTGGTATGGGCGGAGCTCTTCGACATGGCCACTTTTATTATTTCATCCATGTCATGGTCTGCGATAACATGCAATGCAAAGCAATCGAACGTATCCCCCAAAATGGAGTCTAGGCATGGAAAGTCATGAGGCTCCGCTTGTCGCGGTGGATAGTGCCAAATCTCACGGGGCCTACCGGGGGCCTGTGCTACCAGGAGACACATTCCTTTGTGTTGCAAAGTACGTTAATGGATGTATCCTGTCATGTCGACGCACTTGGCTACAGTGCCCGTGCTAGTCCGTGCTAGTCCGTGTTACTACAGCAGCTAATCTTCGTCACGACCTGCCTCAAGTTTCACCGCTGTATCAGCCTTACCGAAGGTGGCAGCCCTGTCAGCCACTAAGGATCGACCAAAATTGCGGCATCTGGCGATTTCGAGCCAGATGTTGCTTGTCGAGTCCTCCAGTCTATGCAGCAGTCATTCGAATGTGAAAGCTGTCCGCGAAGGAATGAATTCTGGTGGCTGCAGGACCATACGTGTATGTACCAAGCACTTCTCCGCATTGCAAGTGCAAAGAGGCAGCAACTTTTCAAGGGATTGAGAGGAATTTAGTCGCCGCCGAGAGCCGAGGGAATGGGAAGGATCGCTCCTTGTGTGCGAAGGATCCGAGCATCCTGCCACACTACCTGTACAAGTACTGGCTCCCGCTGCTTAGCGATGCAGGGATGGACGCATGACGGGTGGCCTTGCCATGACGTTAAGGGTGAAAGAGATTGTGAGCTATTGCTCTCCGCTTCTGAAGCTCCAGAGCTCAAACAATCACATGAAGCATGGGCAGTCAGCCCTATTTTGTTTTCATGGACAACTCCATGAGCATGCCTTGTGCCAGGTCAGACTCAAGGCTTCGAAGTCGAAGCACAGCGAGATGTGGTGCGTTGCTCCTCATTGACCGATGCGCATGAGATCTAGTTACATCCAGCTTTCCTCAACTTTCTGAATCGGCCAATGTTTCGCAACTACAGCAGCCCAGCTCTCGTTCATGCATGCTATGCTGCAACACGGTGGGAATCTGCAGTCAGATACAGAAAACTCATTTGGCTTGCCAAGCGTCTATGTTTGTGACAAGCTGACCCATCGCAGCGCAGTTGATTTCCTCTTGCGGACTCGACCAACCAGTCCACCTCGACTAGACCCTTTTAAGTCTGTCCTGCGTGCACATGCCCCCCGACTGCAACAGACAACACATCACTTTTCCGCTGCGAGCTTACTCCGTGCTCATTTCCGGAAAGGTGCTTAAGCGGCCAGCTAGCAAGCGCCTCCTCCCCACCACCCCAGCCATAGCTGGCCGCCCCAGGACTGGAACCATCCCCATTCATTAATATCCTCCGATTATCACCGGAGCTAGCAGACTACGCTTGACATGGCTCGGCCTATCTCATCGTCCCAACCCTTTACTCAAACAGATTCTACATTGGACCGTTTACCCCACACACTCTACGTTAGGAGAGATACAAGACATGGATGGAACATGTGCGTCTTCTATCTCAACCCTAGACAACATCCTGATGCTACTGCATCTTGCTCGATCGGCACAATAGTGTCTTCTCTTACAATCCTCCAGAAGCCAAAAATACGACAAAGTTGGAGCAATAATTCAGATCCACACCCTCTGTCGCTGTTCTATTAGTAATTACTATCAATCTTCCCAGCCTTGCTTGGCGTACATGCATCTAGTTGGTCTTTAAACAGCCAATGCGGCTTGACGTCCCTCGACAAGAGGAGGCTAGAAGAGCTGCAATAAGAACGAAGGCCGGGAGAGACGCGATCCCACCGGATATGTAAATCCTTCCCAATCAGATTTCTGCAGATTTTTGTTGCACAGAAAAGCCCAATGAACGAGAGAGGAGTGGAGGAGAGCAGAACGGGAAGGGCGGAAAAGGTGATTACATAGCTTGTTTGACGCGCACACCTTCTCAGCTAGCCTCTTGTGTCATCTCATCACGCTTACTTTTCTTCTTCTTCTTCGTCACGCTACCATGGATAGGCAGCAAAAACCCACATGGCGAGCTTACGCACGCGAAGTCAATTTCAATTTTCCAGGCCTTATCTGTATTCAATTGTGTTTCCCAATCATGTCGGCGAAATTGAACACGCCGTACGTAGTAGTATGGACGCGTCACCATCAGTCTTCCGGGAATTCGATCAAGC